AATCATATGCCCAACGCAAGCAGCGCAATAGATTTCAAACACTCAACTTGTACGCTGTGAAAAGATGTGCAGCAAAATATAGCCTGTCTCGTATTTGCACATAAATTCACAACATCGTTTAGAGTAGAAAACAAGCCTGTCTTGAATGGCTGGTAATTATGTACAGCAACAAATAAAGCGTGGTTCCTTTCTGAGGCTCTGCTGCCTTGTTAAGTGGTGAACAGACAAAACAGCATTTAGAAAATGAAAGGTGCAGGGAAACATCCAGGGCACAGCGAGCTTCTCTCCCATTAGAAACAGCTCTGTCTGTCTGTCTCACCGCCGTTTGTTTGTTCCAACTGGCAGCGCTGGGGAGGACGCACCCTGAACCCCCACCACCAACAGTAACTATGTCTCTCTCTTTTTTCTGTCCTCCTCTTTCCTTCCATCCGTCCACCACTTTTCCTCTAATCTTCCCACCACTCCCCTCCCCCCTTTCTTCTGCAGCTCCTCTGTTTTCTCCACTCTCACTGTATACATCCTTTCTATGTTTTGTTACTTTTTCTCATCATCAACCCCTTTTTTTCATCTCCCTCCACTCATTTTTTTTTCCCATGCACCAAAATCAAAGATAAGGCTAATGAAGGTTGCTTTTTAATCCTGATTCCAGGATGCTGAAAGTATAGACGTCCAGCAGAACACAGACATGCAGCTTCTGACAAAACAGAAAAAATAAAATAAAGTTCAAATTAGACAAGAGGCGATGAATCTATTAGTGTTATTATATAACAAAAGCTAGATGTTTTTGTCACTGTGTGCGCCATTACAAAGGGAACAATACATGGGAGTGCACTGTGTGAAACCAATTAAAATCCAGCCCCGTCATATAGCTTCCTCCTTCCCGAGTCATGTTGTGAATATGTCGCTTTCACACCATTCATGTCAGCGCACCTGTGTCCATGCGTTAAATCCCCTCCTCTTTCCTGCTTCTCCTTTTCAACATTTCCCAGCGTCACAATCTTGCTATCTGCTACAAGTATCCCAAGAGTTGGAAAACGAGGGGGCCCGAGAGAGCGCGAGCAGAAACTGGGGAAATTTCACATTATCTAACCATCTGCAATAATATGAGGGGGGGTTCTGTATAATGGGTCTGATGTGGAAGCAGGAAATGAGCTATGAAACATCAAGCCTGTGTGCTCTTGGTCCCAGTGGCCACCACCAGCCTACACATCGAGATCAAATAGGCAATGCGGAAAAGTGGTTTAATAGACCCCGGCTTGATTGGACTTTTATTTTTTAATGACAGAAATCCTGATGCATTACTTTAGTTATCCTGGCAGAACAAATTCCTCAACACTGGACTTATTATCCAACTGCTTTCCTGTCTTTTTGAAAACCTCCCATCCTGAAAGTATCCGTCCACAGGAATCTCTTTTACTTGTAAGGCATATGATGGTTTCAGTATAACTAATTGGGCCGGTTGAAATTAATGAATTTAGAGATAAGGTAGAGGAGAAACCTTTTTTTTCCTCCAAAAGCACTGGGTCCCACCCATATCCTCTATATGAGCATGCCCATGTTTACCAGGCCTCAGAGTGCAGAGAAGCCTCAGTTTGGAGAGAGGAGGGAGGTGGAGGTGGTGGTGGTGGTGGTGGGGATGGTGGTAGTGGGGGGTACAGCTCCCCCTGCAGAGCGCTGGTGCAAGACAACCACAGGCAGCCTCTGCTCACATCTACACCCAGCTGAATCACACATCGACTGCTCTGTCAACGCCAAAATCAAAAGCCAATCAAGACGGAGATCCTTGATGTCTTCCTGATCGCGCTGTTTTTAATTCATTCCATGACTGCGCTGTAACAGTTTTGCCTCAGTGCTTCACGCCTCGTACTGACACACATTCGCTAAAAACGGGCCATTCTTTAAAGTAGATTAGCACAGTTTGCCTGTCAGCTACAGATGTAATTTTTTGCCTCGCTCAGCCACTTCGTGTGTGTATGCGTGTGCAGAAGAATGTGTTTGTTTATGTGTGTGTGCATGAGTATGCCAGTAGCGTGTGACTACAAATGTGTGTGTCTCTTCCTGGAACAGTTCCCGTCTGGGGGGGCAGAGCAGGCAGCAAAAGAGCTCAGCAGCGCCTCAGTCCCTCAGGAGACACTGAAGCTCTGTGCTTGCAGTCATGAAAAGCAATCAGAGCCCAGCCTTCTCCCCTGGACTTACCTCTGTCTTTAATTACAGAAGTAGCAGCGGCGGCAGCACAGAGAACGAGTGCCTCTGCTGGGCCACAGCCAGCATGTCACAGCCCGAACGCAGGGGCTGGTGGTCGACGCAGCAGGCCTCTGCATACACTGACCCGACATTAAACCTACAGACGGTCCTGGTGGGCTCAGTGTGCTTCTACAAAGACTGGGACAGAGCCAAGGTGCTTCCATACTGTAGTGATACAATGTGCAGGGAGAAGCTGCACACACAGTAGGACTCTATAAGCAGGGAAATCCCTTTCTGTATGCTTAACGAGATGTTCCCTCCTGTGCACCCTTAGAAAAGCAATGTTTTATACACGCTAGCAGCTTAATACTAAAACAGACAAAGCATATGAATAAAAATGTGTGTTACTGCAGTACTGTAGTATCTCCTCTATTTATTCTCTTCTAAAGATTAGAAACATAACATATTAATCAATATTCCCTTCTTCATGTATGAGTTACCACTCAACATGGTTAGAAAAAAGGACAATTGATGTGCATCAGTACATTCAGTATAATCGACAATCTCTCCTACTCGACAGACATGCTGGTAGTAGAGGCCCAAAACATGTGCCTAAGGCTGAAGCAGAGGAGAAGCCATAGAGCACACATGGGTAGGGGAAGATAAGAGGCTATGTACACAAGCTGCTGGTTTTTTTATTGCAGCAACTGAATGCTCGGGTAGCATTTTAAACACATTTCCAGAAAAACCTTCCAGTGCTGTCCTTGCTACAATGGAGCAGAGCCATGTTGTTGAAACATGTCTTTGGGCTCAATTTCTCACCAGATTTCAACTGAACGCAGTATGGCACATGAGTGGAGATGCTCAATGGAAAACGCTGCGAGGACAAATGTCTATGGCGGTCTTGGTGGCACAGAAGAAAAAGAAGACATTGTTTGATATAATAGAATCTTTTCCGTTTCCACAGTCTCAAAACAGGGCCCGAGAAAGGAGGCCCTCTCCACAAGTCATACAGCCTAAGATTCTTTGGTGTGATGGCACACATGATAACACATGATAATGACTTCCACATCAACATGTCAACTCAATTTGGCCCTCTTATAGGCTCTCTTTGACTCAATCAATGCATGGCCTTCCATCTGGTTTACACTGCTGTCTTCACATTAGAGGACAGTGACAGTCATTTTACTAAAAGCTCACAACAACTGCCCCCCTGAGGCTCACATTACACTCTGTTTTTAAGCACATCATCCAACAAGGACCCGAATGCAGGCTGAAAATATACAAACGGTTTCACGTAACATTTCTTTAAGCAAATCATCCATCAATAACCCAAGTTGTTGCCGTAGGGTCAAAAACGTTTCACATTAGATCTAGCTTTTTTTTTTAATTCACCAATATAGACTCAAGTGCATGCATGAAAATCCTAAATGTTTCACATTCAAAAATGTTCAAACAAATAATCCCAAAAAGAATCGAAATGCAGGCTCAAAAGTCCACTGCAACTGCCTCAAATAGTGTCACATTACTTAGGTTGATTTTTAAGATAATCGTCACTTTTAAGATAATCTCACAGCACACCAGGACCCAAATATAGACTGAAAATGTCCTGAATTAACCTTAACTTGTGTTTTCCAGCAGTCTTCCATCAGGATCCAGGTGCAGAGTGAAAAGTGATCTGCACTTCAGTGATATTAGCCTATATATTAGCTCCAAAACTTCAAGCAAACCAAGTCATGTCAGGACAATAACTGCATGATGTAAAGATAATGAATGTGGCACCCGCTCTTACTTATTGGGTAAAATCCCATTGAAAGTGTTCCACTAAAGATCAGCCAGGGAATTTCCCAACTTGTTAAAATGTAATCCAATTAAGTCCCATTTTCAGACAAAGTTAACAGCTGACTCTAACACCTCCTGAATTAGAACACAGAGGCTGATATTATGGACTGCAGCTTCTTATTCTCCATACACGGCTTGTCCGGCTCGCACTGTGGCTGCCTGGGACATCCACTAAACATCTGTCATGAGGCATCCTTTATGAGGAGCATAGACACAGTAAGCTACTGATCTAGTGACCCGACAGTGCAGGCATTCACAAATGGCCCCGCTGCACCTGTGCGTGCTCTGCTAGCGTCATGTTTAGGCCAGCTTTGAGGAATTTGTGCTATAATAAACCGTTTATGAATCATTTATTTGTCTTATCACAGTGGAGGGGCCTAGCCGTAAGATGATGTGTTATCCCATTGGGTTTCTATAGCCCATTCATGAATTATTTAATAGTTTGGACTGTAGATTATCCTCCTTTTATTCATTTCTTATTCATTTTTTTGGGGGGCAGCACTATTCGGGATGCACATAACGTTGATTCAAAATGACGTCCACACACAGGCCACTGTTTGTCTTCAAAACATACAAACAGAGCTTCAATATGAACCACCACACGTGGCATCTGTACTTGGGTTTAAATTCAGAGCATAACGCGAATAAGTCGTCGCCTGTGCTGTAAGGAAGTGGGGGCATTTTTTTTCGCAGGGAATGGGTAATCGATGGAGCAGAGACGGATGAATGTAGGCTACGACAGCTGTCCCGGGGAGGCAGGGCAGCTACTACACCGCATGCTTGGTGTTTTCTCCCTTTGAATAAAAATGTCCGATCAGATCAAATCAAAGCAAAGCGGGGACATAAATCAGTGTGTGTTAAAAGAAAAAACAAGTTGTCATGTGCATACCTCACAGAGCTCGCTCCCTGTATTCACATACACACGGCACGCTGAGCAGCAGCAGCAGCAGCATAATAACGTCTTCTCTGCCTACCGTCAGAGCGTCTGCGCCCAAACTGCGTTTTTCCCTCGCCGCAATGGGATCCTCCTCAGCCGCTTCGGACAGTATCAGAGATGCGTCTTTCCCCCGAAATGCAAACACTTTCCCTGCATGTCCCCCCCCCACCCGCCCTCCCTCTTCCCCGCCACCACCACCAGCAGCAGCAGCAGCCCGGGCCTCTAGTGATAGCAGGTGGACGCGCCTCTCAATGATGGAGACAGCGCGACTCTCCTCTCCCCCGCCGCTCCATTTTCAATTACGGAAGAATTCGTATTCCAGGAAACGCGCTATCGGGCAGCCAGCATGTCCTAATATCGCCTCTTTTCTCGGGACAAACAGGGGCCGTCGCTTCTCAAAACTCCCGATCCGCGGCGCCCCCTCGCCTGTTATCTACCTTTTACGAGATGCTTGATGTTGCCATTGTCACGGCGTATTTTTTCTTCCTTTTTTTTTTTTTTTTTTTTTTGCAGCTGGACCTCTCCCCCTCCTTGCGACGCGCAGTCTCGTAGGCGCGCACTTTGCCTGCTCCCCCTCCGATTCTTCTCGGTCCGACCTATGAGCGCGCGCAGCCAGCCGACGCAGGGCCACGCACTGCTTTGACGGACGCGCTGAGCAAATCAGGTAGCCCACTCCAAATAGGACTGTATCATAACAGGGCAACTGCAATGACATGAATAATGAAAACGCTACTCATGTATGCCTGGGTTAGATGATAGGCCTACTCACAACACTTAGCGGACTGCGAGCAGTAAGATTGACTTAAGGTCTCTCTCTCCTTTCTCTCTCTCTCTCTCTCTCTCTCCTTTCTCTCTCTCTCTCTCTCTCTCTTTTCTCTCTATTATTGGATCTCCTCACTGTCAAAAAAGACATTACATTGCAAAATGTGTTAAATTCACTCAGTTTATCCGTTTATAAATAACCTATAATAAACACATTGGTGCGTATTAATAGTCAATGAGTTGTGTATCTTCTGAAGGTATTTACCACATTGAGTCACGTGAGAGCTAAAAGTGAGCAGGAGGATTGTGGATGTCAGTCAGTGGAGAGTAAATAAATACCTTTATTTTGAAAAGTAGTACATTTTGCACTTTACTCCGGGATTTTTCATGTATAGCATGCGATATAAAAAAAACAACTAGTCTATTGAATGGTAGAGTCTAATTAGTTGACTAGTTACTTGAAGATCAAAATATTTATTGATGATTATTTCAATTATTATTTATTGTTAATTAATATTGTTAATATTTTTGGTTCCATTATCTATAATGTAACACTTATTTCGTAGCCTACAATTAATGTCATATTTGTTATATGTTTGTGACACTTTTGTAAAGTAATGATTACACAGATGATTATTCTCTCCATAAAGTTAATTTTTATCAAGACATAAATCTGTTGAAACTTCCCCATCACATTTTCCCTAGTTAACATATTTACACTGCTTGTCTATCTATAGCCTGCAGTCAAACTTAATCAATATTCAGTTTACCATAAGAACTTAGGTTAGGGATGCATGGGTAATCAACAGACAAGCAAAATCTAACCTGACAACACCCAAGGAATTATATCACATGAACACATATAACTCAGTGCTTTTACCACTCCAGTCAAGGAAGGGGAACCACCTAGTGCCTAGCCTCCAACACAAGCCAGCAACCAGGTCCAACCAGGAGAATAATAAAAAGTAGGCTATTAAACAGAGAAAATCAGACTTCAAAAACCAGTCGGTTCTAAAACAGAAAAATGTTCTCAGTCAAAGCATTCTATAAAAAAGATAATACACTAGTGCCAAAATAGTAAAGGCAACACTCTAATGGCAAAGAAGCAGCCAATCAAGGCGTACAATACAAGAAAAACACATTTGATGGTATAACAGCTTTTTAACATTGTAATAACCATGTAATAACTTTAAACGTCAGGCACTGATCATGCCCTACCTACAGATAACTAAGGCGCCGTAATAGTGCATTAACTAAGCAGGCTTCAGGTATGCAGTAACTGAAGAAAAGCAGAATTTAAAAAAATGGGTAGTTTGCAGTATCACTTCACACAACACTCCCTTGAAAATGGACTGAGAAACCTTAGACACCAACCTTAACTACAGCTTTGTCCAATCTTTAGATTGCATTCCCTACTTCAGTCCTAGAGAGGGGACCATGTGGGGGACCACCAACAGGCCGAGACAAAGGAAAGAGAGCCATGATGCCACAGGTGCTTAATTAACCTCTGACCAATTGGGTGGCTGGACCAGGGGATGAGTTGACCCACTTCTACAGGGTTGTGTTCAAAGCCAAAACTTCCCTTTGAGCATTTGAACCAAGAATCTGAACCCTTTTTGCATTAATCCCCAGTAGCTCCATCTGTAGGGACTTGGGTTAATGTCCCATTACAGACCAAAGTATAATGATATAATAAAATACTAAAGGAGACATTTTTTCATCTTATTTTGGATTGATTTTTTTATTAGTCAAATCATTCAATACTGAATTAATTCACTATATTTAGTATTACTGCAGGTCTTCTAGCTTTGAAAATCTTTCTGTGGATATAAATAATAAGACATCTCAATGTCCTTCAGCCCCTTCATTAGTGGAGTGAAAGTCTGTTTCTAATCTTAGTATGTAAATATACATTTTATTATTTGAAGTAAAGGGTTTACTTCCTGTCGCTTGATTGAGCTGTAATAGCCTCCATTAAAGATAGAAAGAAGACAGAAACTGTCCTTCTGCCGCGGCTCGGTCATACACATCATTAGTGCTATCACATGATAAGATTGATCGGTATGCCTTGTCGTTATTGAGCTTGTGGTCTTTGTCAATAAACATATACACATACACAAACATATACACACACACACACACAAAAAGAAATCACTGTTGAAATAGATGTGAAGCATTTATTTTATTATCTATGTTCCCTCTTCTTCTTAAATTACAAGACATGTTCTAATGAACTCAAGAGCGACTCCATAGTAACACAATTTCATCCACATTTCTTAAAAGGCCTTTAACACTTTGGCCATCATTACTGAACTTTTAAGGACAAATTGGCTGCAACTTCTCTTAAAAGCAGCAAGTTGAAAACAAAACACAAGGTTGGCATGAGCACATTTTCATGCTGCTATAATTGCAGTTTCTTCATGACTTTACAGCAAACAGGTAATCACCCCTGTAGTGTGATGAATCTTCAATGAAATAATAGAGTCAACTAAATGAACACAGATGATGGCTCAATAATCATGTCATTGCAATCATAATGCCTTGTTTGCATTAGTGAGACATTACACAATAAGTCACGTCTCTGTGTTTGTCTCTGATATACTGTATATGTCACCTCATGAATGTATTTTTCAATAGCAAATGAATTTACTGGAGTGTAACTTCAATAAAAATATAAAGGAGTAGAAACAAATAGCTACATTTTATTTGCATTTCTGTATTTCAGGGATACAGAATCACTAACAAATTCCCTTCAAATGACATCTAAACAGCTGTCAGTCACAGATGGAGGCTTTGTAGGTCCAAATTCCTTTAACACAGATATTAAAAATTCATACTGGGTTTTTTTTCTGAGTTTGTTTTTGTTGTTGCACACTTTGAATGATTGCAGCTGTATTTGAGTTATGTGTCAAATACTGCCGCTTCTCTATTGTTAGATTGTAAAACAACTTACATATGGTGCTGCCTTGAAAGTTATAAAGTACATTTTCTGCAGCCTAATATACTGTTCTACTGATACATTGTAAAACAGATAACTCACACTATTTATTTCACCAAATACTCTCTTCTGCATTTATCATTTGGTTAGTTTAGATTTCATATTTCATTTTTTGATGACTTCAAGGCCAAGCATAAAGGCATTATAATTTAGAAAAATTGTGAATAGAGTTAATTTCAAGGTAAAGAAATGACCTTAAAACGTGAGACTTCAGAGCAGAATGTAAATGCTTAAACTTTAGACTGTAATGCTCATCAGGTTGGACAGCCTCCAATATGATTATGAAACCTGCCTGCATCCATCTTTGTTTTAAGCTTCACTGTGTCATATAGTTTCAGAAGAGGCCATTTGATCAGATTTGACAGCTCAGTTAGTTTGAGATTCAAGAAGTGGTCCTGAACTGTGAAAGCTGGTTCAAACTGGTTCACGTGAGTCCAAAGCAAAGTATGACAACCAAAACAAAGACGTACATCCTCCTCTGCAGGCTTCACCCTAAAGCATCTGATCCACCTTTATCATTTATAGACTTGTCAGATTATTGCAGCATTGTATACACCCATCTTTTAGAAAGGTTGATGACTAACTGAATTGTAAAAGGCGTCCTTTTGTATCAGACAGTAGTTATGATGATGTCATCCAGGCACAGACCCTGGAGCGGCTTCATACAGTGATTAATGGAACAACTCCCATGGGACTTTTTGACAGTAGCCAAAGTCATTTAACTGGAACACAGGGACGCTTTTGAATCACAGCTCTCAGAGTTACGTCTGAAAATGTCAACAGATTTCACAGTAACTCAATGTCAGTTCATCTGTGACCTCTAATGACATCACCAGCAGTTTAAGATGGCGAAACTTGACTTGCTGTGCAACACAAAGTCTACAGTTTTTATTTATTTATTTTGAGGACATCTCTTATTTACCAGCAGCTTACAATGAAAATTGAAAGATTCCTGTAAAGGTCACGATTTTTTCAACTGGTGGAATCCTAACTTTTAAAAAATGAATTTAGCGACCTTCAAAGCCAGAAACCATTTAACCTTTCCATGATCAGACCCTGAAAAGATTACGTTGTTTTTATTTTTCTGTAAAGGAAGATTATCTTCTTTGCCCGTGAGTGATAAACAAATTGAAATTCAGAGGATATTTAGAAGTTTTCACTGCAGCAGGCACACTGTAAACATTTCAAGTGTGTTGCCTAGTTCTTCCAGGCTCTGCTCAGAAGTTGCATCATCTGCATCATGCTGCATATTTGCAGAGATGCAACAACCACAATATCTTTGTTTATTAACTTTAAAAGGATCGGCCGTGTGTGTGTGTGTGTGTGTGTGTGCGCGCGCACAAATGTGAATATTCATCCTCATTTTGACCAGGAGCATTGATAGAGTACACAGGGATTACGCACATAAATTTACACTCCTACACAAAACGATGGAAATAACTACATCTTCTCTGAGGCAGCTATGCATATTTATCAAAAGTCGCCCTTGGCCACACGCTAGTTTTACTGTAGTGAAATGGGAGTGAGCTAACTGTCTGGTGCAGAGGGATCACCCTGAAGTCTCAGTCTGCTCTATTATTATCATGAAGGAGAGTGGCCATGCAGGGGTCGGCAGGGATTTGACGTGTGTGGCTGAACCCCTCATATCACCTCTAGACTCTGGGAAGCTTTTATGGTAGCAGGGATGCTGCTCTTTGGGCTCGTTTGATGCTTTACATAATAAATGCATGATTGAATCACCGCGCAGGATTGTATGATAAAGCCATGTAGAAATAAAAAAAAAATTATTTAACATCTTGCTCCAGGTGGGAAGCTGACGTGCTGTTTTAAAGTAGCCTACTGCTGTGTTTCAGTTCTTACAGATACATTTTTATTCTCAATTTGAAATTAAATTGATTTGATTCATTCTCAATGTGAACATAGAGATAACTTTGAAAATCAGGGGGGAAACATGTGGGTAAATCTAGCTAAACAGCTACTGTAGTTTAAAAGCATATCATAGATTTCTACATTCAGAAGATAGCTACTGTTAGCATCCAGCCACTTCCTAGCTTATATTACCATTAGCTGGGAAGAAGTTTAACAACCAAGAGTTTGAAAGGCGGAATTTATCATACAGTGTTCTTTAAGCTTTCCATTAAAAATTCAGTAGAAAAATACAAACTTGTTCAGAGTTAATTTTAGCCAGAGAATTGCTGAATGCTGGTCTTAGCTGCTGTCAAACCATAGCCAATGGGTTTTTTCAAATCTGGTATTTTTCCTTGAACTTAGCCTCCTTTTTTCAAAATTTCAATGGTATTTTCAGTCGCTCATTTATCCAGAAGCCTTAAAATTACAACATTTGTGAAATACGCTAAATGTTTATATGACTTTCAACCTCACAGCAGAGCAACATTATACTAGCATTTAAGCTTCCCACCCTGAGCTATACACATCAGAGGAAAGTGGCCGCTGTGTGACTATAGTGAATAAGGAGTTATCATCCTATCTGCATTATTCTTTGAAAATGTCTCCTCCAGTAGAAGGTCGTAGTTTTCATCAGGGGCTGACTTTCCTGCTGGGGTCCATATTAGGGGCATTATTAAATGCCTTTGTGTGCCTGTCCTTTCTGCGCCTGTACGACTCTGAATGGTAAACAGAGAGATGGCTACCTCATTACCTCATGAAGACACGCACACAGACACTACAGGACATGCGTGCCATGCAGAACAATCAAGGTTCATTGAACAATAGATTCTGTAGAGCTGTTTTTTAAAATATAAATAGCCAGAAAGAAATCTCGTTCCCTGTGTAAGTCTATCTTCGATTACTCAGTGACTTAAACACTGGAGTGTTCTGTCCTTGAACGTTTCAAACACACACACACACACACACAAAGCTTTGCCTGAAGAAAAGCTGAAATATATCAGCCCTCTGTAATATGTGAGACTTCTCACAGAACGGCAGCAGATCATAGTGAATTATGTTCACTGAATAATTAGCAAATAACCTGTTCAGAGGAGCAGCTGAAGGTTGTTGGGAGACGCTAATGAATAGTCTCATAATCTCTTCCTAGGTTAGATTAGAAGGATGCCATTACCATCAACTCATCGGCCTGGACATCTGACGCATGAAAGGAGAGCCATCCAACCAGTAATCATCCAGTTGCTTTCCTTTTAAGCAGGGCTCTATCAAAGTCTACTTTCATCTATAATGTGTGACTTCCTCAGGAGGTGTGTGTGTGTGTGTGTGTGTGTGTGTGTGTGTGTGTGGGGGGGGGGTCTGGTCTGTCATGCTTTTCAAATGTTTTTTGTTAATATCAGTTTCAACTATTATCCTGCTGAGAGGCCTCATAGAAATGTGGTCTAATGTATCTGGTCCCAGAAGAGGATCCAGAGAGCAGCAGGGGTTCTTGAGGGGGATCTACTGCCATTATGTTCTCTAGAAAATTAAAACAATGAGAATGTGTAAGGATGGAAAGAGAAACTGATCAATCACCTGACAAACACATCTAAAATCACCTCTTTGATTTACATAAAATGTAAACAGTTATTATAAATCAAGGAACACATTTTTATCTCTTTAATGTGGTTTTTATATTGAGATATGCTGAAAACTGCATCGGTAAGCTAACATTTCAATTTTAACAAAATGTTAAATTGTTTTTTCTGTCAGTTATACTCACACGTGTGTATTTAAGCTATTTAAAACTGCTGTTTCAATGAACATTATATAATAGTTTGGTTACATATAGTCTTTGAGACACTAACACTAAAACATTAACCACACAAGGAATGCCTGTTTTTTTTTTTTTTAGTACAGTGCATTAGATAGAGCAGGATTTTTGAGTAGAAATTCTCAAAATCTAATTGTTTACATATTCAGAAATGTTGGAATGTGTTTTGGCTTAATAAAGAAAATCCCATTTACAACCCTTGATTTGAACAGTTTTAAATGCTTATTTACTACCTGACCAGTACAGATGAAAATATTTGTACAGCAAGCTAGCAAATACCAACTAGCCGCTGGTTAGCTTAGCTTAGGATAGAGCTAAAAAAATTGTTTCTGTGGTGTCAGTGGTAAGATAATTAATAATCATATGAGGCGCTGGTGGCGCAGTAGTTGGTGCGCACCCCATGTATGGAGGCCATAGTCTTCCAGGCGGGCGGCCCAGGCTCAAGTCCGGCCTTTGGCTCCTTTTCCGCATGTCATTCCCCACTCTCTCTTCCCTGAATTCCGACTCTATCCACTGTCCTGTCTCTCCATGAAAGGCACAAAAAGCCCCCAAAAATAAATCTTTAAATAATCATCTGATTCAGATCTACACATCAAACAGCATGGAGATCTTATTATTTCAACAAGATTCTACATTTATTTTCTGTGTACTCACTCAGCCGACGTAATCCAGAATATTAAAAACAAGTTTTACATATCAGTGTTTAGTACGAGACACAATATTTGATATAGATACAATAACATACCAAGGTTCCCAACATATGTGTATCAAAGCCAAACCAGCCTTCAGAGGACTTACATGAACTGTCAGTTTTTAAATATTAACAATTACATGTAACCTTCAGCACAAAGTCTTTGTGTTCACTTTATACAATCCAAAAAGCTGTCTTAACATTTTCACAAGGTCTCTATGAATACGTTTTTGATGGAAGAGGTCTGCTAACCAAAGCTCAATATGACTGTAAAATGTTCCCAGAGGAGGCTTTCAAGTAGTGCCTCCAAATGTGGCGAAAATCATTCATGATTTATTAAAGGTGCTTCTTGTCGTTCTCAGAGTGTGATATTTATATCAGTGTGACTGTGACATACTGCTTATTCACTGGGGAGCTGTTCTGTATGTTCATGGGTCGAAACACTCACATTACGTTGTTATTCATCGAGAATACTTGTGTATCTGCCAAATTTGATATATTTAGAACATGCATTGAGAACACAGACATGGGCAATGTGCTTTACCACTGAATTCCACTGAAGTCTTTTTGAAATAGGTTTCTTCAAACAAAATGCTGCAAAGCCATTTTTATAATGCAGTCGTTAAACTGATCAACTAATCCCAGAATACATTGAAGTATATGCACAACCTTGTAATAAAAAAATAACTAGAGATTACGTTTATTTGAAAATAATTTAAAAAGTTATATCAATACAAATTTTGGAACATTATCAAGGCATATTTAATTTTTCATTACATATACGCTCATCTGTTTCCAGTGCAATGGGAGATGTCAACAAACCTGATGTCAAAAATGTGGAGGAGGGGGGGGCAGCCATGTTGACTAACAGATGTCTTACACACACGTATGTGATATACGAGGTCTCTTATGGTTGGCTTCAGCTGAGGCAACTGGCATACAGGCTCCATTGCTGGACAGCCGCCAGTGCTAAACACACTTGCTCCCCGTTCTGCTCCTCCTCCTTTACTTTGGCGAGCAGTTGCCTTTATTCACGTGAGTAGGAGGAGGGGTAGTCACATGGGTGGGGGCTTGGCTGCAGTGGGTGTGGGCAGAGGGGAAGTACCCATATGCCGCTTCCCTCCCCAATACTGCACAGACTCCAGCAGATTCCAGAGTAGGCTATCTGTGAGGGGATGGCGAGGTGTGGAGATATGGCAGCCCCTCTCAACAGGAGCAGTTCCCACAGCCCTTCACACTGTTGAGGATCTCCTCCTGCAATTTCTTCCTCTCCTCCTCCTTCTGGGAGAGGCGCTCAACCGGAGCATCGTGGGGACCTTTGCTGTTGTTGAGGATTTTGCTGTTCTGGGTGTTCCAGAGGTCTGCGTACAGGCTGCCTGGAATGCTGAGGAGGGCCTGGTGGTTGCCTCGCTCTGCCACTTTACCCTGGCAGGAAAAAAGAGCAGGGGATCATATAAAGAACAAAGCATATGAAACCTAAACTTCCAGTAAAAATGGCTGCATTATATGCGAAGCTAGAACAAAGAGGCCATGAACACACAGTCCTACTGTTAGCATCTCTTCATGACCACACTCTCCGCGGAGTAAGCTCCCCCTTAAAATCCCTGCCGCCTCCCCAACAAATGTTGCAATTTCTCTCTTGCAAAAACACAGACTCATAGACACACATGCAGCCACACACGACAAACACACATCCCTCCCACACATTCAAACACAAACGACGGCACCCCCCCTTCCCCCACCTCCCATGAGCATGCAGAGGTGTTGGCATCATCTTTAGTGCACCCAAGATAAGCACGTGACTTGCCTGCGCTCGTTATTTTAATGAGCACCCCAGGCAGTCCTCTGCTGGTGACACCAGTAAACGCCATGGCGACATCACAGGCAAACATGCCTCCTCGCCACGACCCCTCTGATCCCTGCCATCTGACTCTGGAAACATGGAACCACCACACGCTTGCATGCCGCAGTTCAAAGAAAATGCTTTTATTTTATCCTTTCTGACTGTTGCAGTTGTGGAAATGTCACTTCATGTTTGATACATCTCATTTTAACTCTTACTCTCCAGATAATAACTGACTCTATTATGGGCCTTTTTGGCTAAACAGCACCTCATTCAGAGAACATCAAATACTGAAGATTGTTTTTTTCCTCACTTTGAATACAATTGCAAGCACCAAAGAGATTAACTTCGTTCACATTATTTTAAAAAGCATTCAGCGTCTGCTGGGCTTCAACCTGACTTTAACATACATGAACATAAAATGTAAAGATAACCTAAGTGAATGGCAATCAGCACTGAGAGACACGCTTAGTTCTGCACAAGGCCTCATCAGTATCTGGGAAGCTGGCCCATACATTATTAGTCACCAAGACAAACAAGACACGCCATCTGACCAAAACAGCCAGTCGAGTCTGACTGCTTTAATGAGCCCTTATGGAGAAAATAATACATTCAATTCTACTGACAGTGTCCTGTTGTTGTTAAAGTTAATGAGAAAAGCTAAACAAAGCATGTCTTCATCACTTACATTGTGGAGAGGTAACTCAAAAAAAAAGAAGAGTGGCATAAAAAAACAGAGGCTTCTTGCTAAATTCTTGTTTGCTGGCAGATGCAGTGTGCTTAGCGTCACACAGAGGTCAGGTCAACATCCCTCCCTTCAATGCAAAATCATCTAATTGGACTGGCAATTAACTCGGCGCCTGATAAACGCGGGGAACTCTGAACCGTCATATTATTTGCTTCTTCTGAACCTGGCATTACAGCTGGAACAGTTAATCAGTGAAGGTGTGAGATCAAGTAAAAAAAAAATAAAGTGGATGAGTTCTTACTTCATTGAGCACTATAATCTCATCCGCGTCTACAATAGTGGAGAGCCTGTGGGCGATGAACACCGATGTTCTGTCCTTCACCATCTCTTTCATTGAACTGAGGATGTTCTGGAAGCACACAAAAGAAAATCACTCAATAACTCTGTTAAACCAGACAAGAGTATCAAATAATCCAAAAGAAGAAAAGTGCATGAATGACAGGATATATATGAAAAGTCAATAAGATGTTGCGTTGGGAACGCTCACCTTCATATGCTTTCTCTTCGTTGTTTACATATGATAATTTTAAGACAACATTGTGATGAGGAGCTACAGAGAATCTCAATGAACAAGAACATCTACTGCCCCTCTTTTCTTCCCCTTCAGTTCAGAGCGGGCTTTCTCATTAAGTGTAACATTTACAAAGACTGTGGGGTTTAGGCTGAGCTGGAGATTAAGTAGGAGAAAACAGTGGCAGGTGGCAGGGGAGAACATGGGGGTGTTGTGTGTGTGCGTGTGCGTGTGCGTTGTGGGGGTGGGAGGGGTGTGTGTATGTCACAGCAGGTATGTGACGCAAGAGTGAGCTGAGTTATTGTGTACCTATAGCATGTGACTGAGTGGGTGTTTGTTCTGCTAAATGAGAACACTAGATAAGGTGTCCATCTACAGTATAGTTCAGCAGAAAAAGGGCATTTGTGGGTACATTAAGCATGCATGTCCGCGAGTGTATGTGTGTGTGTGTGTTTCAGGCCCACCTCTTCTGTGATAGAGTCAAGGGAGGATGTTGCTTCATCATACAGGAGGATGGGTGGATTCTTAAGGATTGCACGGGCGATGGCAACACGTTGCTTTTCACCTCCTGAAACAAAACATCATACGTCATATATAAAAGCAAATCAGGCTAAAGCAAAAGGTTTAAAACATGGGAAGATGAAGCTGGTCTCACTTCAGTCCTTATCAGATAATTATCTCTAACAGAGAGCCAACATGCAGGGGGAAACAACATTCCTACGGCCATTTCAAACTATTTACTCAAACGTACTTGTTTGAGAAGAAAAACTAGCAAGAGGCAAAGATTTCTTCTACTGGTCTGACCGGCCTTCATTTCACATGAACCGTGAGTAGCCTCTTAAAAGCTAGCGATGTTCAGCAGACAAAAATATTGCTGGCAGAGGAAAACAGCAATCAAGAAAGTAAGGAGCCTCAAAGCCCAGACTGCCCCCCTCCTCGTCTCACAAACTCACTGGCAGCTGTCACATACAGCAGCAGTGAAATTAATGAGAAGTTAGTCATGTCTTTATTTTGTCCGTTCTCTCACTCACTCAGTCACTCCACATAAAGAAATCCGTGCTGCCAGTAATTGCTTCTGGAATGCTGAGTGAAAGTGCTCGCACACTGTGTGTTTATGTGGGCTAAATGATTTGCAGAGTAACGCTATGAGACAAATACTACACAGTGATGCGCAATCACTGCACATCAAAAGAGGAAACATACCATTAAACAAGTTTATACTTTTGAAAGAAGAGGAGGGCAAAATAATGTGCAACTTCAGATTAAGTCTCTCAATAAATCTACTAAAATAATAATAATTATCTTCTGTCACAACTAAAGTATTTCTCAAAGGATATTGACATCCTTTCCCGAAGCCAATCCCGTAAAAATACTACGCTTATATCTTCAGGCGCTTCTTCTTTACAATCAAAAATCTAAATTCAATACCCAAAGATCATTAATCAGAATATATTATGCAAAGGTATTCAGTAGCGTTTAATAACATACTATGTAATGTTTTTTGGTAATTCAGCTACAACAATTATTATGACAGTCTTAAGTTTTAGTTGAACAAATGGATTTACTAAAGCTACAAAATAATAAAAAACTAAATGATTCTTTCTGGATTCATTATTAATGATAAAAAAATATATATTATATTAGAACAATACATGTTGTTTGCCAGCTCTGTGTGGATTCATTTAGTTATAAGCAGCCAGTAAAAACGGAATAGTCGAATCCACCAGTAAATTTGAAATGTTTAAGTTGAGCGAACTATCAAGGGAAACACAAAACACAAAACACACAGCGCGTTTTCTTGCTTCTGCAGAGGAGACCATATTTCAACAGTGTTCATAAAAGTGCTGCAAACCTGACAGCTTGAGGCCCCGCTCCCCAACCTGGGTGTCATAGCCATGGGGCATCCTGAGGATAGCATCATGGATGCCTGCTAGGCGCGCCACTTGGTGCACTTCCTCTGGTGTGGCGTTGATGTTCCCGTACTGCAGATTGTAGAAGATGGTGTTGTGGAAAAGAACAGCATCCTGACAACAACAGCACAGTGAGAGAGAAAACATTAGGCTTAAGAGAATATTTTTTTATTGCAGCAGACACAGAAATGAGGACCACAGATCCAAAGACAAGGGTAGGAGGGAGAAAAAACACAAATGAGAAAAAATACTGTTCATGTACCATCTGTTCAGATGAGCCTCTGAGCTCACTGCAGTGAACAACTGATTTCAGCTCGTTTCTGATGCTGCTGTTAACCAGCAATGTAACATTGTTCTATGCTGCCCCCTTGTTGTATGTCATTATCAATGATATTTAATTTACTCCTGAAGACACATGTGCATTTCACTTTCTGTAAAAAGGCTTCAAATAGTAAGATCGATGTGGTGTTAAATTGCTTTTCTATTGTTTGTCTGTGTTTAAATCACTGTGTTGGTGGACTTCAGACCTGTGGTACGACCCCCAAAGACTTCCTCAGGCTGTCGAGGCTGACGTCTCGGATGTTCTGCCCCGCTATGTAGATGTTCCCCTGCTGGGGCTCATAGAAGCGGAACAACAGCCGCATAATGGTGCTCTTCCTGTAAACAGACGTGGAACCAATCGTCAGCATCAGTCTGTCTGTGAGCTGCACCCCCCACAGGCTGCTGATGATATCGATGATAAGACAGTCTGCACATACAAATGAGATGACACACACCTGGCTAAAGGTTTGATGGTTGGTGTATTTTTAAGGTTACCTACCCTGACCCGCTGCCACCAACTAAAGCCACCTTCTTCCCAGCAGGCACTTCGAAGGATACCCCATTTAACACTTTCTGGCCATCCAGGTACTCAAAATAAACGTCCTCAAAGCGGATGGTGGCCTCCTGTGGTGTGATGGCTAATGGCAGGGCGAGATCCTTTTCCTAGAAAAAAAAAACAAAACAAGGTTTGAAACACACAAAAACAAATAGAAAGAAGACTGGTGCAGATCAGCCACTGGTAGACGAGGCCTGGCATGATGCAATGTTACTCCAACACCTTGTCAAGAGGGATAATGCTGGAGCACAGAAAAAAAACACGCACTGCATAAAGCAAAGCAAATTTGAGAGGTCGTTTCAAAAGAGCTTCAGAATCTTCACACGCTGACTGCCCTTCATGGCAACTAAAGAATCAACAGGCATGAAAAGTTACAGAACATACCGAGCTGAGCCGTAGTGTTGAGATGAGCTAAGGTCAGCAGTGAATAAAGAGTTGTCCTTACTCTCTGAGTAAAAGCCTGTTCTGCTCCATTTCTACGCTGCCTAATAGCAACATAATCACTTCCAATCCACCCCAGCCAATTAATACAAATAACTAACATAGTCCATTAGTATAAACAGATTATTTCACATACACCCTCAATATGGAAAAAAGCCAAAATCATTTACTTTTTATTTTGTGGGGCAGTTTTAAGTGTGTGGGGTTGGGGTGGGGAGGTGGTTCAAATTATTTTACATCTGCATAATAGGCCAATGTGTTCCATACAAAAAAAAAAACACTGACACAGTAATGGCCTGCTGGGCAGCGCCATTCCTCGGGGAAACACAATGGAGAGGAGTATTACTGATGAGTGCAAAATAACTGGACAGATTCATTTCTCCTACTGTAATTACAGGCTGCAGACCAGAGTGACATTCATAGTGTTAGACAGCATCTGCACATTTGCACTTAAATGTCCTCTTCTGACGCAAGGCAGGCTGTCGGGTTGTGTAAAAGAAAAAGGGGCGGTGGAGGGGGGTAAATGCGATAAAATGTCACACACAAAATGTAGTAATGACACTGAAGAATCAGAGGACCTGCATGTTAAGACTCTGTTCTTTGAAAATGGCTGGATTCTGAACAGTTTGGGATATTCTAATAGTTCATCTTAAGAACAGGTTTTAGTTTGAAAATCGTTCTTGAGGTACATCGACAAGTTAGGTTTTAAATTTCCTGCGGTGTCATCATCCTAAATTGAAGACTGAGGTCTCAAGATGGAACTACAACTGAAACTAAAGTTGATTATTGATAAGCTCATCGAAAGATTACATAATCGTCTACTATTTTTTATAGTTGACAATAAACAATAGACAATAAATAAATACATTATTTTGACAATAAACGGATCTACTGTGGACTGTTGACTATATAAAAACATAATGGAATATTATAAGCATATTTTACTTTATTTCATAGACACAGTTATTCATGTGTAAATGAAGAGAAGTTATAGATTGTTAGTTGGAGCCTTGTGGAAACGTAAAGGAGGTGCTGAGAATGACAGCACTTTGGACAAGACTCTGTGTATAAAAAGTGGCATTTAAAAAAAGAAAAATACAGAATCCCAAAAAACAACCCCACAGTCATTAATAAAAATACCAAAACAGAACATTGAGAACAGCTAAACTCACTTTTACACAACAATGCTTAGTCACTCACTGTTTGGAGAACCAAATGATATGCACCTGTTTTCTCTGTAACTGATTGAGAAAATGATCTGCACAAACAGGCTGACAACAACACACATAGAAACTGTCATATAATACTAAAGCAGGGTTGAAAAATCCCCATGAAAAATGAAACAAACCCACACAGACACAACAACCATTGTTTACTGTTTTCTGTATCCTCACAGAAAGAAATGATGAAGGCAAATAAACAGTTTGTGTTCAGAAACAGAGTGTACTGATACCTAGCCTTTTACACACTACAAAGTCAGTCCACATAATGGGTTGATAAATGAAACGGCATTTGATCAAAACTGGTTAATATATGCCTTACAAATCAAAGATCAACCAATCACATTTCTGCAGTAATGTGGCATAATATGCTGATATAGATCACACCGATGCAGTGACTCGCTGAGTGGGAATAGATGAGGAAGCACCTGAGTCATTTCAAGCACATAATTATCATGTTTGACTTCAACCTATAATCTTTTAGGGCACATGCAGACAGGATATTTATGTCACGCTGTCATGAATAAGTCAGAGCTGTGTTAAAATCTTTTCTCACCTGTGCAATCATTCATGATAGTAAAAGCCCTTATAGTCTGAGTTTACTCTTGCATTTAGATTTTTAATGAACATTCATTTCACTTTCTATCATCTTTTAGTTTACCAGCACTGTTTTCTACTACTTCTACTATTTAAAGGTTAGAACAAAAGTGCATGTCAGGTTGACGTGTTACCTTGATCTTGGTGTCGACACTGAGCAGGGTGAAAAGAGTGTTCATGTCTAAGAGGGCCTGCCTGGTCTCTCTGTACACTGTACCCAGAAAGTTGAGAGGGAGGGAGAGCTGGAAGAGCAGGCCGTTCACCATCACCAGGTCTCCCACGGTCATCGTACCTACACGACAGAAATGCACATAATCTCGGTGTATCTTTGCATATCAGATCTAAGAAGGAAAAAAATATTACACCCTGACCATTTCTCCTTTCAAGTTGTGAAAGCAGACAAAGCGTGTTACACTCTGAATCCATCTCCACCCACTGTGATTTCATTTTCTGCATCACGGCGATTTTATTTTCTATTCATGCCACTTTTTCATGCTTGCTGTGCTTTGTTCTCATTTACTTTCTATTATCCAGTTCAGTCAGGGTTTTACTTGTAATTTTCATCTCTCGATTTGATTTTGTTTTGAGCTGGGTGATTGAAGCTTTCTTATGTCCAAATGCACATTTTGGCTATTGTGCTGTGGACACAGACTGTGAGCATGGAGATGTAAATTCAGGTCAATTGAAAGGTATTTTCTATCCTTACTGCTGGTTGCTATCAAATTCTTATATGGTTTATGAATGTTGAAAGAATGATTTTTACACACACACACACACACACACACACACTTACCTGCAGCGATACCCTTGCTGGCCAGCAACATGATGGCAGTGAGGCCAAAACTGAAGATGACGCTCTGTCCAAAGTTTAACATGGCGAGTGTCGACGTGGTTTTTAAAGAGAATGACTCATAGATCTTCAGGAATTCATCATACCTCGCAGCTTCATACTTCTCATTGTTGAAGTACTGCAGCAGTGATAAAGAAGGAGGGAGAGTGGGGGTAAAGGGCAAGGGCATGGCACAAAAAGAGAGAAAGTGTAAGTTGAGGGAGGGAATGGAGAAATACAAAATATGGTTAGAGGTTAAGGGAGCATGGAGAGCAGTGTCAGGCAGATAGACACTTTAGTGCAGCCTGCCTCGAGGCTGCATTTGTTCTCAGTGACCGCTCTGTGAATAGTCTGGGTCTCAGTTGGCCTCAAAAGCACTATTCATGTCTCTGTTTCTTTTTCTCCTCCCCACTGATCTTAAAAGATGTGGAGGGTGATAAGAAGAAATCCAGTGCCTCTCTAGCTCTGGCAAAGGATAGTGATTATAGCAAAAGAAAGGTCTAGAACATATAGGGCAATCATAAATATAGGGAAAGCCTCAACTTCCATCCAAGTTAAACAAGAAGTGCTGCAGAATATTCATGATTGGCACTTGGCATTGTTGTCAGCTTGTGTGTTTACATCTGTAGCAGTTTACACAGACACCTACCAGCAGAGCACTGGAAGCTCTTCAGTGTCACACCACACAAGCAGCACTCATTTTGTTCGGAACATACAGCTATCATTTACAGAAAAACACAACAACTCAGAATTCAGCCAAACTCATAATACTACAGCATGAGCACAACAACGACCCGTTCCTCCATGCTGCCAATTACCTAATATTGCTGTTTGTTTAGTTAACACTATTGTTCCTCTGCTCTGGTTAAGTGGGCGATTTGCTTCTCCAGCTAACAGCAGTAGTGCTGTGCTTGCCACTGATTTGAATACAGGCAAAATGCAGGAAATCAGACGAGAGACAGAGAGAAAGTAGCACATGGAGGACAAACAGTAGCAGTGCAAGGCACCATGTTCAGGTTCTCATCCAACCCTTTGTGAAAGTGGAACGGATTTCTGAGTGGGCGGAGATCTAATTACATATGCACACTCACAGCTCAGAGTGATGCTAAATCCGGCCACATTGGCACAGATGACACAAAATAACACAAAACGTTTAGGAAAACAGGACACAAAAAATAATACGGCGAAGAAAATAACACGGCTACCAAAATATATCTGGGGCAGCCGACGAAGCACCCGAAACTGGATGGTGATTATACTTGTTTAAATTTTACAATGAGGTTACCTAGAAAGAGGCTTTAAACAGCTAAAGATAACATTCAGGACAACCATGCCACTGAGAGAAGTATAAATCAATTTTTGCATCCACCCCACATCAGATCTGTGAGGCATCTTTTTAATCAACTGGCAGCTAAATGTGCAGCACTGGTTTCCAAGACACATTTCCCCAAGCCTACAATAAAGTACATAAAGTACAATAAATTCAAGTGTTACTTATAACTGAGATACAATGTGGGTCATTGACTATACCAGGAGTTTAGCCCTGAGTGGTCAGTATTAAATATATCATTGTTGATTACAGTGAGAATAACAAAGAGGGAATAATAAGCAGTACAGAGAACTAGGTCAAGGAAGAGTTAGAGTGAAAAACTAGGATATGATGAGTTTGTCAAATGTGTGTGTAAATGGGTTGACAACAAAGTTTTGATAATCACGAGAATAGAATGATCAGTCAATATTGTGCAGTGGTAGGTTAATAAAACCCAAACCTTATGGAGGTATGCTCACAGTCCTCCTTAATGTCTACAGGAATAACTCGAATGCTATTACACTGTGTAGTCTAAATGATACAAAAACAGACCCCTACCCGTGGTCCGAAGTCTTATGTTGATGTGATACTGCTCTGTAATAACTAAAGGGAGCTCTTTAAGTAAACCCAGAGCAGATATTGGCAGTGACTTGTTTCTGTCCTTTCAGCCATAAACCCCACTTCTCTAAGTCCAAAAGATAAACTTGACTTTTACTTTTGGCTTGCACTTGTTATGATACGGAGTTTGTGTGTTAAAGTGGTGACAAACAAAAATGCAAGGTAGGGAAAGGGGGGGGGGGGGGGGGAGAGAAAAGCTTTTATTTTATTAATAGGCAAGTTTTGACAGTGACAATCATGCCAGTGAAACACTATTATCATAGACGAGTAAATGTTTGTTTGTGTCAATATTCCTGGCTCAAAGTGAAAAGATGAAAGAGACAAGAAAGGAGGAGATAAAAGAAGATTGATGGAAGGGGTGGGGTGTATGTTAAGTGTGTGTGTGTGTGTGTGTGTTTGTATGCCTGCGTGTGTGCATGTGGTTGTTAGGGGATTGGATCTCACCTTAACCGTCTCGTAGTTTAGGAGCGAGTCAATAGCTGCGTTTCCAGCTTCATTGTCTGCTTTGTTCATTTCTATCCTGAAACGAGTCCTGTGCACAGAGACATGTGCACATTCAGGTAAAACACATTTCAGCGTACAAGTGAACATTGTTACTGTAAGCACAGAGAGCTGCAGAGCAATTTACTGAATACATTTTCAAGTGATGAGACGGCAGACACAGGACTGGTTCAAATATCCTTTTTTTTTTTTTACCTCCACTGAGTGAGGAGAACAGTGAAGACTGTGTATGTTGATAAGGTACCCAAGGCCACTGCTGCAAACTGCCCGCCACACTTGTAATACTGCAGAGGAGAAAAGCAGAGTGAGAAAATATCTTCTTTTAAACTCAGTGACTCAACAGATTTTTTTGATTAAAAATAATCAAACCACCACATCATATTGTTGGACCCCAATTTTTGAGTCGGAGGGCATATTGAGCACGTACTGTGTTTGACCATTCTGCTATGAAATTGAGTGTTACAAATGGAGGGGAAACTAAAAGAACTAATCATGCTAATGCTTTAGCTATTTGGGCAATGGAGTCTGCCCTCATTACAGGCAAGCCAACATAGTCCAGAGTGGAATAATAGCACCAAGCTATAGACGAGCCCATCTTTCAGCTGTAGCCGAGGAAGGAGGCATCTGTTCAGGGCATACTCCACAGGAGGAAATTAAGCTGCTGCAAAGCTTTGGGATTCATTATTGACACTAATGGGCTCTGTGTTGACATCAAAGGTTCATGGCAATTCATATTCCATTTAGAATGTAAATGTGACTTTATCACTGAGATTTCCAGACAATCTGCTGTGAAGAGTGTCAAGGTGATAGAGGATCCTGAATTTAAAAAAAAGAAAACAATAAAATACAAACCAGAAAAGTTAGTATTTATGTGTGGATTTCACCATTAGACTCACCAAAATGGCACTGACAAGTCCCATCTCAAAGACAGTGGGTCCTAGATTGAAGACGAGAGCACTGAGGACAAACGAGATGCCCCGTGTGCCGCGGTCGATAGCCTTGGACAGGGCTCCTGTCTGACGGCTGAGATGGAAACCCAGATCCAGATTGTGCAAGTGGAGAAAGACGTTCTTGGCGATGCGTCGGATGGAGCTCTGTGCCACCTTGCCGAACACAGTGTTCCTCAGCTCGTTGAAGAAGGCTGCACACGCCCGTGACGCGCCATCTGGGATAGCAGAGGAGACGTAGAGTTTAGCACACCTGCTGTGAAAAACATGGAGGTACAGACAGTGTGCCCGGGCGCTCTTAAGTGAGAATATATGCCCTCGTCACAAACACAGACGTGCATGATGCAGCTCTCAAGTGATACGAAGCAGCGAAAAAGAATCTGACCACTACCTTACCTATCTTGGAAGCTGTAATACAGTATTGAGATAAGACAGGGATGTCAAGTTCTCAATGGAGAAGGCTTGTATGAAATGGCAGGCCAGGTTTTTCAAATCATCTCTGGTCTGCAAGCACTGCAGTGCAACAGCAGAAACCTCCCAGAGCCTCTGTAATTACAAAGCAGGATGCTGTCTGAAGCATCACTACCATGGCAGGCCTGCACGCCACAGAGGAAGGGGAGGGAGGTTATCTGAGTGTACAAGAGTGTGTTCAGTGAGTGTGTGGTGGGGATGGGGCTACATGTGTGAGAAAATAATAGAAGAGGGCTGATGGTGGATTTAATAAGAGTTCCATGACAAGAAGTTGAGCTGTTTAAGTTTCAGCATTGTCTGAGACTGGGTTTCTCTGGCTCGTCTCTATGAGGAGGGGCTTAAACCAGGCAACAGATTCTCTTAGGTAAAGGTATTTTTCAGTTTCAATATTTGTTGTTGTATAGGTCAAAGCAGTCCTTAAAGCTTGTCAGTTGTAGAATTTTCAGATGTAATTCCAAGAAAAGTCAACACTTTTCATGAACTCTTAAACAAGCAAACCGATAGCATGACTGTCACAAATTAATATTAGACTGCCTGAGTGACATGTGGTCTTCCGCTGGCAATTTCACCAAATTGTGTGAATAAACGACTTGTCTGCTGAGACCAAAGTCAGTGTAATAATCGCTCTGTCTGCCGGTCTTCGTGTGGCTGTAATGTGGCGTTAAATAGGAATGCTCATCTAATGAACAATGTGTCCACATCTGACAAGGTAGGATGAGCACTGCGAAACCCTTTCAGCCAAATTAGACTCATCACCAAGGGCCCCAAGTGCCGGGTCCTGAGTGTCACGAAGAGGGGGAAAAAATTACAATCCTTTTCTTTAAGAGCACCTTGTCATTATTCCTTGTCGTCTTAATCAATCCTGTCTGAAGTTCTGTTCATATGCTCCAATTATTCCACAGGCAGCATTAATGTGCAGGACCTAAGTGTGCTTATTAAAATAAGTGGATACAGGGCTAAGTGTACATTGCATCCGCACTGATCTCACTCAAGGTCAGAGTGACTTGCAGAGGGTGTCAGGTTCACTGTATTTATTTTTTTAGCTTTTCATCACTAGCTTAGTGAAAAAAAACCTCTAATCAGGAACAACTTTATATCACACTGCATGTCTCCCTCGACCCCTCCTGTGGTTACAGGGCTCATTTGGAAAAAGAGGAGAGAAAAAGAGGAGCTCTCTAGAGTTGAAATGAAAGAAACATCTCTGGCCTTTGGAAAACATTACAAAATATCTGCCCACTTCCTAAAGGACATTAGCAATTTCTTGCCTACTGCTTTAGAAATGTATCTAGCTGTGTTTGCCTTGGGAGCACGCAGGTTTCAAACTGAAAAGTGGTCAGGTCTCACAAGAGCACTGCATCAGCTGATAGGAGTGGACTTTGATGCAGAACGGAGCGCATAATGTAAATAATGCCAGGGAGACTCAGAGGTTGCGGAGTGCCATTGATATGAATGTGTTGGGAAAGGTCAGCACGCAGATAATAGGCAGTACCGCAGTCCCCCTCTGATGAACGCGGCACCTGCCAGTGCAACGCAAGTCTGGGACTCACAGCCAATCAGCACGGCCGTTGCCATGGTAGCCACAGTGCTTGGCGCGTCATTCAGGTTCAGCATGTGTCCCGACATCTGGTTAAGCTCGTCCACTGCATACTTAAACATGAAGGGCACCGTCACATTGGTGATCTGTGAAGGCAGAAGAGGAGGTTGGGAACATTGAGAGAGAATGGCAAAAAACAAAAGAGAGAGAGAGAGAGAGAGAGAGAGGAGAAACATTTTCAAATAGCCTATTAGAAAAAACATATGCTCAACATAGTCCAGTGTCACTTTCTAGTCCTTCAGTACTGCCTCTCCACTAAATGTATCCAGTATTCTTAGAAAGATGAATCCCCACTGTTGTCAGGCAGTAGAACAGACGTAACACATTCAGGCACCTTTAAGATCATGTACTCTATGTATACATGCATGTGTGCTGTGGGAGTGTGCATGTGTGTGTTCTTCCTGAGTGGCTGTGCTGATGCTGCTGAGGTGGCTGGTGCTTTCTGCTAATGGAATTGAAATGGTTATTTAGGCTAATTAAAAGCCCAGGGACAGCTGTGTGACTCAGGCTAGGCGGTCTGCTGCACATTAGGACAACCAGAGAACACAGCGGCACACCGCACAGCATTTTTAAATGAAACCCATTTCATTTGAACCTCTCAACCCCTTGACACTTGGGAGGGGGGGGGGAGGACATGTTTTCTCTCAACTTTTCTTTTTGCTTCTTTACTCCAGTGAGCTCTGCTTGATATCATTTTCATAGATTAATTGTTCAATCTATCATATATAAACAATGTGTAAAAATAAACCCACATCTAATTTAAAAGGGCACCAAATAATGCAATCCATTTATGCTTTCATAGCTGCATTTCCAGGGTTTTCGCTTTATACACTTGGGTATTATACTCAGACAATAGACGTCCTCAGGGTCCCTCAAGGAAAAACAATATCGTTGCTACCAAGACAACTGAACATGTCACAAAAATAGCCTGGGCCTATTATCACAGGGGAAAAACATGTCCTTAATTTTACCACTAGTACATGATAAGGTTGGAAGTGCTATTTCATTGCCTTAACAGCAAACTGGAGATTAAATCAACACCATGTCAACCTAGTGTCATCTCATAGTAGAGATACTGTATCATGTAGTGGAGAGGAGACTTCAGGCTATTAGAATTAGCTTATAGTCTGAGATACACACATGCACACTGACACAGGGAGCTTTTCTTGAAGTCAACTAAAGTAAGAGCTTCTATATCAGTAACTCAAAATGAAAATGTCACCTCTGGAGAGCACTGGTGTGATACACTGTAACCACACAATTAGTCAGTTGATTTAAAAATTGCCCCCATATTGCTGGTGGTTTCAGTTCAAGCAGACAAACTGGGGAAATTGAGGCTAACTCCAGCCACGCAGGAAAACAGGAGAAGATTGGATTGCATGTGTGTCTGTTCTCTCCATCTTAGCACACACATGCACAGCCATGCTGAGCGGCAGCCGTACATGCTTATTTAGGAGCGTTGGATTTGTGATTGTTTTCCAGGGTGCAAATTAAAGCACATCATCAAAAGATGAGAAAATACATCATGCATTGATTGATGTTTGCAACTTGTAATTATAAAATAGGTGTTTGTTTTTAAATGAACACTGCTAGTTATAAACAGTTTCTTTCCACGGAGTAGCAGCCACTGCTGAGCTCCAAATGGTCTTTGATGGTCGGCTAATGCAGATAGATTTTTCATTCAACAAGAAAATATTCCTGAGCAAACACAGAGGCTTTTTCCTTGTGTTTGGACAATTTGCCGTGACTTAAATTCTACAACACTGTGCTAGGTCAGTCAAATCAACCATGTATCATTATTGTAAGTTAGTTAAAAATGATCAACAAGCTGATCTAGGCAGCCATGATTAGAGCTGATATGTTATACTGGCAGATTCATTCACTTGTGCGTTAATTTCGAAGTGTCAAGGCTTAGAAACAAGATAAAGGTAAAGCACCACATGACCAGGCTTTTCTAACATAGATGCCAAACACAATAAAGTGCTGCTGACAAAAAACAAATCAGATATCCATTTGCGTGAGCTAGTAATGTAATATTTTGCTGCAAAACATGTTTTTTACTAAACCTGAGTGACGCTGGTTGTGCCTATTTTTACAATTCCAGCATGAAGGCAGTCATCATTTCTTTATTCTTTTCATTTGCTTCAAAGACATTTTGAACTTAAACAGTTGAACTATAATAACCTTGTGGGTTAATTGATGTCAGCAGCGACCTTGGATAGGATTGTAGGATCTCTTCTCTCTTTCACTGGATTTCATTGTGAAAAGGCTGTGCTGCTTTTCACTGTGCGGCCCTGCAGCTCGGCAGAGCTCTCTTACAGTATGTATTTATTCCTTTTTTTTGACTGTGTGCACTGTTCATACAAAACCCTGACAACATTTGATCAGATTGTGTCACTTTATAATAAGTCAAAGCAAACTAAAACAAGCAAACTAAAATGATGATGAAAGACTCTTTAACTTGGACTTGTTTTGATGATGAGTGGAAACTTGAAACCATGTTAAGAAAGTTAATAGAAAGTTTGAGTTTGCCAACTTAGAAGCAACCTGGTCATCGGCAGTATTGTCTCTATCATTCCACATTTTATAAATTTAAGAAAGTCATGGATGACATGGATGTGATCAATATTCGTGCCTGCGCCTAAAAAGAGAAACATTGAGTATCTTTTGCTTTTCTAAATCATTTTGTATCAGAGCTCCATTATTTGCTCTCATATTATACATTTTTCAATTATTCTAAGTTGGACACTTTTTTATTATTACGATAATTACGCTAAAGCCAAACCTGTAAAACAACAATCTTTTAATTGAGTATATCACATAACAGCTTTTTGTTGGGTTTTATTTTCCTATCTGGTCCAAGTTGATCTGAGAGAAAGTGGTTCTGAGTTAAATCAGAGAGCACATCATGTCAGAGAGGTGTTCTTTAGGGTGGAAGAAATCAACCAAGGAGAAAACAAAATTAGACAAACTGTGTCAATATGGAACAAAGATTGGAGCCTCTTCCTAAATGGTAAATAGTTTGACATTGGAAATATATCCTCTTCAGCTGTGATTTTTGTTGTATGCAATCATATAACACTGCTTGTTACAAATCAAACACGCGAGTAAACAGCTTTACATGAAAAAGGAACAAATCCTGCTTTCACAGCCATGACATTGTCTGTAAACTTACTTTGGCTCCAGCTAGCAGGCCCAGTGAGATGGCAACACGAGCTCGCAGGTCTGGTCTATCCTTCGGCCACACGTAAGACAGCATCGCAGACAGGATCTGGGCTGAATTCACCTCCTTCAGCTGGTGAGAAGAAAACAAAAGCAAAGACTCTTCTTAAATCACAGGCTTATTAGTATGAAAAACAACTCTGTGCCGTCACATTCAGGTCTATTTACTGCACTACAATGTTAACATCATACCATATGTTTGCTAATATTGGCAAGTAGCTTCCATCTTGCTCTCAGTGGGACAATCACAATATAAAAACCTAAACATGGCTCTCTTGGCATCCACTAGGAACATCAAATGTCAAGGGGAGTCCCTTGGGAGATCTGGGAGCAGCAATGACAGCAGAATCTCCAGGTGGACCCGGGGATCCAGTCTGACACTACAAGTCCCAGGAGACACCTGGGCTGTCACCCCAGCTGAGTTTGAGAGCACACTGGTGCCAACATGGCTGTTTACCCACACTCCACCATACACCTGCCACAGGGACTCTCTGCAGGCCAAAGAATATCCAGTAATTCCTCTAATCCACTCAATATGGAGGCTTTGAGCAAACGACAGAGTTGTGCCCAACACCTGCCTTTAATTAAAAACAATCAAGCAATATGTTACACTGCGCACAGAGAATTAAGATTAAAAATGTAATGCACGACTGATGTCCCTGTGACATATGCACAGGAGACTGAAAAAATAGAGGCTTAATTGATCAGTTTATTGTTACATCATGTTTGAATAGTTCAGGTCTGAATCTGTGTACTGTGTCATACTACAGCTAACCACAGGAGTAGAGTAACTGTTAAGATGATGTACTTCACACAGATAGAAAGTGTAAAATAGTCAACAAAGAGATTAAAATAGATTTTTCTTTTCTTTTGAAAATGTTACACAGATGTATCCATGGTAAAAAAAGAAAATGAGTGCTTAAATAATTGATCAAATAATACATTTGTAATGTCTGTCAATGTCAAAGGCCTAATCTAAAATTCTCCTTATTCAAACATTTAGACTGTTATCAAACTAGTAGTAGTATATGAGCGAGTGTGGTGTATTTTTTTTTTTAACCCATAGCACATACGCCTGAGAAACCCTGAACAACTCCATCCGAACCAAAAGTGACCATCATAGCATCGTTATCTCCTCCTGAAAGACAGAGGACTTTAATGGATATCAGCAAAGGTGTTGCTTTCAGCTTTGGTAGCTTCAGAAATATCTGTAGTTTCACCTCATAGAGCCAAAGATAATAATAATAATAATATAATACTAATAAACTTTATTTGTAAAGCACCTTTCATCCAAGTATTTCAGCTCAACGTGCTTTACAGCAGAACAAGACATACAATGGGCATCACATAATAAAATAGCATGAAATAAAATGAATTTAAAATGGCATAAAATAGCAGTGAAACATAACGCCTGTTCAACATACGCCGTCCTATATGTTGACTATTACACTCAAACAAAACCACTCTCTCACTCCTTGAGGGCACATAGTGGTCAAGAGAGTTGGTAATGTAGTTTGGTCCTGTTCCATTTAGGGCTTTGTATACAAGGAGGAGGATCTTAAAATCTATTCTGAAACTTACCGGAAGCCAGTGCAGAGTGGTTCTAGTTAATATCCTAGATGCAGAGTTTTGAATGAGCTGAAGTTTCTCTGTGGATCTTTTGGGGAGGCCAGTAAGGACTGCATGTTTTTTTTTTTGTGTGTATAAACAAAATTATTGGTCCTTAGTTTTAATGACCAAAGGCTAAAAAATGTTCCTTTACTCACCACATTTTTGGGGTCTGCGTTCAGCTTTCCTCCTGCATTTCCGTGCCAACATGTTCTTTTGTTTGTAACCTGCAAATGCTATGGACACACCATATGATGTTATTGTCATACATTCAGTTTTGATAAAATAAACTAACAATTCTATTTTTTTTTTTTTTAAGACTTACTTTTGCTGCCTCCAGAATCTGCCGACTGTTGTCGCTCCTCCCTGTGTTCCATGTAGCTGTTCGTAGGTGTGAAGGGGAACTCAGCTGAAATACACAAGGAGTCTTATTGACTGTCGTTTCTCAGATCTGCTGATTGTTTTTTATGAATGTTTTACTTATTAAAAACACTAAAAACTCAAGAGAGCAAATATATCCAACAACAACAACACAAACTAACAAGATCTAACGTTTTCTTCCCTACATGTTCGATCCAAAAGTTCAGGGTGTAAAGGTTACATGAGGGTTGGGGACATATACTGAACAAATAAACGATACGAGGACAAGTTGGTTTTAACTAACATGAAATCAATTGATGCAATGTTTGCTCAAAAACGTTCTAAAATTGTGACACAATGTGCAGAAATGCTTTTATTTAGGTTAACTTTTGTGAGCTTGATAAAGTGACAGAATTTAAGCACAGTCAGTAGTAATGAAGTGACGACTAACACGTCTACAAAGACTGATGATTGATAAAAAAACACATTTTGTTGGTGGTTTTTGAAGGCACACAAGGCTTATGTAAATGAATGCTCTTACAAAATGCATAAATTAATCTGTAATTTTAGTGGGTGGGTATGATAAGACTTTTATCTGCTTGAGGAAAGTTTATCAGTGCAAAACATTCTCTTAGTATGTTGAGGTAGCACAACATGTCAACAAACACTGTATAAACAGCACAGTTTAATAACAAATTCATTCAAGTATATAAACCAATTCCATATACTTGTGTAAATGTTAGGGCGCAGTCTTATTCTCTATGTAAACAACACTGGGGTAGACCCAGTTTAAGCTCAAAAGACAATGAACGGGACATATGTAGAGGAGAATACATTGTAAGCAACATTTCTTTGCCTCTGAATAAGCCATAAAGAAGGCCAGGGCAATTAATCAAGTTACAATTTCAATGACACTTTTATCTTCCCACGATCACGAGAACAAGATAATCGAAATTAAACAATTATTGTTCCGCATGCCATGTTGTGATCATTTTGTAGTGTGTCGAAAATGTTTCCGTTTCTTTTTTTTTGTTATATTTTGGCCACAAGATTACATCACTACTACCTCAAAAACATAGTTAATCTATTTGTTTTTATGTATAACTACATATATATATATATATATATATATGTGTGTATAATATATATATTCAATTATTGCTTGATTTTTTTTTAAGTGTTAAGACAATTTAAATTTGATTAATACATGTGATCTAGATGAGATAAACTCAATAGTGTTCAACAATCGTGATCTCAATGTCAATCAAAATAATCGAGATAATGAGTTTTGCCAAAATCGAGCAGCACTACCATGAAGGTATAAAAACACCAAACTGTTCATCAGAAACACATTATAACCTATATGAGGTGGCTGCTGCATCACTTCAAACAAGCACCTGAGCAGGTAGCTGAGTGATACTGTCCACACATAGTTACATCAGGTTTGAGGTCTGGTGGGTGGGACATCTTAATCTAACATTTACAGACGACACGTAAGACCACGTGACTGTGACCACTGTCACGTCACAGCATTTAAATGGTTAATAGTCACTGTTAATGTTTCAGACTTGTGACCCACGCCGTGAACTCTGCATATAGTCACACTGTTGAGATAAACTCTGTACTTTAATGTTACGAAGGCTGGCTGTCGATGAACATTAACAGATAGTTCACTGATATATTTACATGACGTTTACCTCTCTGGCACGAAAACAAATAACACAGACTTTATCAATGAACTTCCTTGTTAGTTAGGGTTAGTTAGTGTCACTTTCCATCTCTGTCCTTGCCTGGTGACTCTTAAAAACACAGTGTCCTCTCCAGCTAGCCGAGTCGTAAACTCACTTGATATGAACTCTGGCGCTTATGGGCCGTCCCGTTCTCACTGCCACTTTTACTCCAAATGTGATACGAGCTCGTCTGTCGAAGAAGCAGGGCTAATTTTCGTTTTTGAATGTGGTAGCCACATTTCAGCGGTGCCAACATCGGCGCCATGTTGACGAAGGAGGACGTGCGGTTAGTCAACACGCCGGGAAACACGTCATATCCGGTGTACGCTCGACGTAATCGGTGCATAGATAAGTGTCACACACACACACACACGCACGCACAGCTAGCGGATTTACTTGTTACTTAGCTTTCTGGAAACATCGCCTGCTAGTTTTATTCATTTATTTTTAAACACGACGTTTGTTACATGTCTTGAGGTTTGTGGGTGACGTGTTAAAGGAGAGTTTTTGGATGCGGTAGCTGCGTGAACTCGCACTAGGCGAGGCTGAAGGAAGAACACGTTGCCGTCTTTGTCAGGTCTGTGGGGCAAACAGGCAGCAAGACGAGAAACGCCATCTGGCTGTTGCACGGTTTAAATAGATAAACACACATCGATCTCGTACTCAGGATGCCTTGCCACAATCAGCAACTGAACAATGTCAACAGTGGCCAGGAGCACCCAATGAAGCAAGTACGATTTGCAAACAACAACAACAACAGCAGCAGCAGCAGCAGCAGTGTGCCTGCAGTGGTGTCCAACTCTGAACCATCTGATGCCACCATACAGCCTGACAGTCAGGATAACCTTGGACTTCCTCAGCTCAAACTGCTCCCTCTGAACGACCAGATACGAGAATTACAGACTATAATCAGAGACAAGTGAGTCCCCACTCTTCCATCTATTGGCGTATATATACCACAACAAACATCCATACCTCTGATTCATTTAACCCCCCTAACCCCTGACCCTGGAACCTTTTTTCTTTTTATTGGAGAAGTTCTGGCAACTATGTTACTCAATTTTAAGGCAGCCTGTTATTCCACAAAATACAGCATGTAAACTGTATCAAACTAAAGTCCTGTACAGTCTATTATACAGTCTTTTATGGCATAGTATCAAATGAACAGTGCATCTTTTTTTTTGAATGTTGAATCATCAGTATGTCTTTTTGTTTGTCTAAAGTAGTGCTGCAGATGGCTGAAATCTGACCACTTTAACTGACCTGTTGAAACATTGGTATTGATTAAACTGGGTGGGGTGGCTGATCCAGTTTCACCTCTTCTGGTCCCAGTGTCCTGCATCCTTCAAATCCACAGCACTTTATTTCAACCTCCAGGAGATATTCAAATGTTTACAACTATGCTGGATCTGTCAGGCTGAGTTTTGAGGAAAGTTGAGTGTGAAATCTGAATGATGTGTGCACATATTGTACAGCCAGAGTAAAGTTCTGACACGAGGTGACCCAGGATAATAAAGGTGATACCTACGTTGCAGGGGAAAAAAATGTATATCCACCATAACACCATTTCAAGCTTCTTTAAGGAGTTTAAGCTTAAAGTGACACAGACTGAAATGAATACAGATGCATCTAGTGACCTACAAAAATAAAAGTCCACCAGCCACAAGTTTGATTATTTCTATATTGTTTTTATTAATGCCTTGAACTGGGTAGGTGTCAGACTAAATGATTCACTGCGCACAGCAAAAACAGCCTTTTCCATATTTTCAGTAAATTCATCCTGAGTAATACATTTGGCAGTTAAAGGAAAGCATGATGACATAAGACATTTTCCATACAGTATATGACGGAAATGAATACTAATTATGCAATGTTGTGTTAGTTTGTCTACGCTTATTAAGCAGATTTATGTATTTACAGCATACAATTCATTCTGAACTATTTAATCAAATATGTATGTACACATTTTCAGGACAACAAGCAGAGGAGACTTTGTGTTTTGTGCTGATCGACTGGTAAGATTTTGACTTACTGGTAATGCTGTGTACATTTGTGTTTATAAGCCACGAGTTTGAAGCTTCTTATTTCTCCAACAACAGATCAGACTAGTAGTTGAAGAGGGTTTGAATCAGCTTCCTTATTCAGAGTGCACTGTGACCACACCAACCGGTGAGAATCTGTAATACAAATCAATGTTCAAGACCCCTCCACCTCCAACTGTGCTGGATAGATAACCAATTATAATAATGTGAATACCTTAATAACTATTGTACCAGGATCCATGCTGTGTTTTACCTCCAGCATGTTTGACTGTGTGGGCTTGTTTCTAGCGGCTACATTTGACAGTGTTCCTGTTTCGTTTCCACCCTCAGGGTACAAGTATGAAGGTGTCAAGTTTGAAAGAGGCAACTGTGGAGTCAGCATAATGAGGAGTGGTAAGTTAAACCTTCCATAGCTTACCTACCAAATTAGAGCCTTTTCTTTCGTCAGGACATTTATTATGTCTTCCCATGCATATGTGATTTCTGCAGGCTGTGCACTCGTTCTGTACACTCTGTTCTGCGTAAGTTAATCAGGTCAGACTATCTTGTGCTCCTGATGGCACACTTTCTTAGCAGCAGTTTTTTTGTATGCTGAAATTGATTGATCATTTAGATATTGTAGAACTATAATAAATTGATTTAAATAAATCTGTACCTTTTATAGCATATTCTATGAAGGCTTCACAGCAGACATAAGAGGTTATTTTCCCTTGTGAAGAAACTTGAATACTATCCCTCTCAAATGAAAGAACTGTATTATTATTTGACAGTGATGCTAGAGCATAAAGTAAAAAAAAAAAATGGACATATCATATCCCAACAGTGTATAACGCAAGTTATGTCCTTGAAGTACTACTTTGATGTTTATGTTCACACGTCAGTGGACACAAATCCTCAAGGGTTGATGATTAGTTCCAAAAACTTTAAAAGCAACATAAAACTATCAAATCAAAGGTCCTTCTGATTCCTTCCTTAAAATAAGAGTGTATAAAATGGTGTTCTGTTCAACATAGGCTCATTTTGTTTTCATTGCAAGGGTTACAATCATTTCAGTAATCTATTGTCAATCAGCATACTTGGAAAAAGTTAACAAACAAATTAATTCAACAAAAAATAGCAGCAAACTGCAATAGGGTCAAAGCAGAGTGGCAGCGTTTTTATATTTTTCTCTTCATTAGTAACAATACGTCTGATTCAGATACCTTTTTTGGTCATCACTTCAAACTGGAGCTCTGTTGATGTAGATCAATCTAGTTTCAAAAATACTTGATGGAGCGCCTGAGCTTCAGCAGAGAGTTTTTACATGAATTGTTTTTTAGCCATTTCAAAATATAAAAAAAATTGAATAAAATGGACCTATCAAGCATTTTTTAACAATTTGGAATAAATGAAATCTAGATTAAGGATGATTGCCCCAGAAGTTAATGACAAGTTGAAAAAAAATGCATTTTGGAAAAAAAAAGGAAAATAATTGCAAAATTTGGCATTTTAAGGTGCATATAGAAAAGATGCAGTGAACATGAGAGAAATTGACGCCAAGTCCAACTGTTTTTACTGATGATTGTAAAACATTTACTTGATTGTTACAGTGCCGTCCTGAGGTTAATGAGTATCACAGTATGTGTCTGAATAGTGGTTGAAATGGGAAAGTGTTGGTTCAAGGCAGAGGAATTAAAAACAGTACAATGAAGAATGATGTAAAGCAAGCAAGCTCCAGTTAGGCTCTAGTTTCATTCTGTGCGTCTCCCCACAGGTGAGGCCATGGAGCAGGGTCTACGGGACTGCTGCCGCTCCATCCGGATTGGAAAGATCCTCATCCAGAGTGATGAGGAGACACAGAAAGCCAAGGTGTACTATGCCAAATTCCCTCCTGATGTATACAGGAGAAAAGTGCTGCTCATGTACCCCATCCTCAGTAAGTAACAGAGTTTATCTTCATGTGGATACCAGTGTGTCGCCCTCAGTAGCTCATAAATGTCAAGAGATGTCTATTTTTGTGCAAATGTAAAATCAGTTTCATGTATTTATTCATTCTGAGAAATCTCCCTTGAGCTGACCTTCACCACCAAGTCCACATTTCCACATCAGAGCTGCCCATTCACACTGTTCTGATAATTATAGCACTCATGGGGGAAATTATACACTGCCTGGGAGACGGCCACCAAGCTGCTGAATAGCATAATGAGAGACAACAAAAATAGTATCTTAATAGCCATGGTTTGCCGATGTCACATCGCAGCATTTTTCTGCTCTCAGTTTTTGAAGAAATATGGTGCCGACCAAACCAGGTTGAAGGTATACTTTATGATGTCAGGTTGATGGATCATATGGTTACACTAATGCATCCTAACAGGGTCAGAAATTAAAGCCTGTCAAATACCCAGACTGAAGGATGGATCAGACAGCACAGAACTCAGTACCCTTTTCAGATTCTAACATATAATGGACCAGAAATACGCAACGGTCAAGTTATTAGATTTTTACTTTAAGGTTCTTTTATTATAATGCTAAATACACTTTACTATGTTTTTCTAACATTAATGTTTGTCCCTAGTCCGTCTACAAATCCACCAATTATTAGAGAAGTCCATCCTCTCCGTCTTTTGCCCTCTCCACTTTTCAGAAAATGTGTGCTCAAATAGGCCACTTAGTGATTTTCCCTTCATGACATCACAAAGGGACGCACCCCCTGCCCCAGGTGTGTGACACTTTCAAAGAAAAATCAAACAACTGCAGCTGATCCATAATGCCACGGCTAGAGCCCTCACCAAGACCAAGAAAGTGGATCACATTACTCCGGTTCTGAGGTCTTGACACAGACTCTTGCCTCTCAAATAACAGAAAAGAATACTTCTGTTGGTCTTGAAAGCCATTAATGGTTTAGGGCCAAGATACATTTGTGATCTTCTGATACATTATGAGGCATCAAGACCACTCAGGTCTTCTGGGGCAGGTCTGCTTTCTGTCCCCAGATTCGGAACCAAACATGGAGCAGCTGCTTTCAGTTTGTATGCTCCGTAGATATTTGGAATAGACTCCCAGAAAACTGCAGGTCTGCTGAAACTCTATGTTCTTTAAATCAAGGTTGAAGACTCACATGTTTACAGCAGCCTTTTATTAAATGAAGTTATCTTAATATCCATTTTAACAATATGACAGTGCACTGTAACTTTTACTACTTCATTTTGAAACTGTCTAACTTCATTTTAGCTCCCGTTTTTGATGCTTGTTTTTTTACTACTGTCTGATTAATGTATATTATAGGTTCTGTTTTTGCTGTTTTTGGTTGTTATAACTTTAAAATGTCCCTCTTTTTAATGTTTCTTTTTTCCTTTACCATGATGCTTTTGATGTCTCGTGACATCTTGCCCTCTAAACACAAAATGTGAGTCAAACATTTGATGTTGTGTGTCTGCAGGTACAGGGAACACTGTGATTGAGGCAGTGAGGGTGCTGATAGAGCATGGAGTTCAGCCCAGACATATTATCCTCCTCAGCCTCTTCTCCACGCCTCACGGTACGCCACCACAGCCAGATCACTGACACCGCAGCTCATCACCCATTTTCTTTTGTTTACCCACCAGATCACACGCTCAGTCTGCATTCTCCTCTCCACCCCTCTTCTTGCTGTATCATTGTCTTCATACTAAATACTACTGGCAACCAACTGCAGTGTTGTTTAGCTGCAGTGCTGTTCAGTGACACTACTCAGCAACAATGGCTTTAAATGAGTGAAAAACCACAAAGAAACATGTTGCAGTAGTTTTAAACTGATTGCCATGACAATCGGTGCTGGTTTTTGTGGTTTTACGGAGGTTAAACGGAGGGGGTTTTAATTTTTCTTTCAGTGCCATTATTAAACCTATATTTCCACTTTGCACAACAAATAATGAGATCTGAAGGCTCTGTTCTCTTAAACTGTAATTATCCCTTTTAATGCTCTGAAGAGCATGTAGTCTGTTTTTCTCCATTTTTATAAACCTACTAGATTTGTTTCCAAACCATCGTCCAGGAAAAACCCTATTTAAAAAAAATATTTTTTAGTGTAAGTGTGTCAAAAGGATAGTGTTAGTATGTTAACCTAAGTTGTGTAAGTAATTGGCTCATACTTTATTTAATATGATCCTGTGTGTCTGTTTTATACACACTAACTGTAAAATATTTTGGAACATTCTTAGTTTCCTATATTTTGGCATTTTTTGAAAAGGCTTAAATTGCCAAATGTGTATCCATGCCTAAATTTGATCCTTTTGGAGAGACGTTTGAGTGTTGACATTTTTGGGTGGCTTTTTATGTCTTCCGTGTCCAGCATTTAGAAATGCATTGAAGTGGCCTTCAAACAGCATAAATGTACCTTGACAGCTTCAAGAGTAGTTCGGCTGGGCTGCAGTGCTGTACAGCTGAGGCTGAGAAAATGTTGAGGCAAAGGAAAAGGAACATCTGTGCTGACCAAGTTCAAAACAAGCAAATTGTTTTATTTCATAGAAAATAAGTTTCTCTATTTGTTTTTGCATCAAGTACAACCACTATTTTACAAGTGAAGCTTCACAAATGCTGAATATGTTAATAAGGCTTTATAAACTATATTAAAAGTGTAATACCTTTTATTATCTCCTAGGAGCCAATTCTATAATCCAGGAGTTCCCAGACATCACCATCTTGACCACAGAGGTTCATCCAGTGGCTCCAACACATTTTGGACAGAGGTACTTTGGCACCAACTGAACCAACGACAACCAGATGAACATGATCTGCTTTTTGCTTTTCAGTATATTTTGTGTTGTTTATTTAAATGTATCTCATGTTCTCCTTGTCGTGCCAAATACTGCTACTTGATCTCCAAAGTTCCCAAACTGATATAAACTGATGAATCTGATGGATTGTATTTATTTACATGTGTTTTTGCTGTGTTTACTCATGATCAAGAGAGAAATACGCTGATCAGCATAGAGAGTTCAACTTGGATAATTTTATTTTGCATGTTTCAACAAGTGGTGGAAAATAAAGAATTTATATTTGTTATCAGACAGACGATGAGATGGTTTCAGTACTGTTAATGGTCCACAGGTTTTGAAGAAGGGAAGTGACACAATCACACACTCCAAAGCAGGGTTCAAAAGGGACCATACTGTGTGAGCTTGAAATATATTCCCTCCTGTCTGCACACTGGGAATAATTAGTGAGCTTCTCATGGTATAAATATCCTATTATTTGATGAGAGCGCATAGCGTCAATAGTTTATTTCAAGTGTCACTTAATGGAGCAAAATATACAGATACCGCCTGCAGCAGTTATGAATCAGTAAACAAAACACAAGGGGAGCTAAATATGGAAACAATAGACACAAGATTCATGATCCACTCAACATCCCTAACATTTCACACATGCTTCCAAACACAGAATCATACCTCAGATAAATACATGTAGATGAACTAATAAGTGACATATTTATGTAATGTTATGTATTCCTCAGGCATGAGCAGCATTTGAATTTGGCTTACCCAACATAGAAAACTGATCAGAGGAAGCCAGTTAAAAGTGTCAAGATCTAACAGCATCAAGTTTGATGCTTGCAGGCCCAACATTTCAATCATTCTTAATAAGATGTACACTGGATTTAATACACAAGTTCATACACCAAAACAAAACATCTCAAAAAAACAGAAACACAGGTAGAAAACATTTAGAGCAGCTGACCTTTACCAACCAGTGAATGAAGATCAGTCTATATCATACATGTACAGTTTTCGGTATATTCAAAAAGATCAAAAGAGAAAACAGACAAAGAAAAAGTCTGCACCTTCTCCTTTTTGAGTTTGTGCCTACAAAGAAAGCTAATCTCACATGTTTCCTGATCACTGCATCCACACAGAGGTGTGAATGTACTGGAGATGGCTGATATAGTAGGAAAAAGGATTGTGACGGTGGTTTAAAAAAAAATGTCACAGTATGTCATGCACACTCATCCAGAACATTAAAAAATGTGAACTGCTTACTGCATTTTTTTAAAATATCGACAAAGACGACAAAAGCATTTAATTTTTGATATATGATATATTCCGGTTTGGATTCAGACATTTTCTTAAAGCAAGGATAGGCGATCTGTTTTTGTTAAATCAGTTGAACCAATGCTCAAACAAGCCATCCTGTAACTGTGGCTGTCAAAAGGACTGTAATAAGAACACTCTCTGTCGGTCAAAAGAAATTCTTGAATGGTCTTCATACCTTTCTACATACCTCCCTGCCCACCTAGGAGCACTCTGCCTGTGCATTCATTGTACATGTTGCAGAGGTTTCACAATGATTAAGCCGCCTAGCCACTCACATAAGAATGGCAGAGAAAGGTAATTGGCCATGCTTAACAATGACAACCATGGCCTTCGCTCCTATTTCTAGCACTTCAGGGTAACTCGTCCTACAGAAGTTGTTGGCAGTGGAAGTTCTCTGCATGGTTTCTATAAAGTTGCCTACCCTAGCTTTAATATTTGCTATAATACTCGATGAGATTTAGAACTTTATTTCCAAACATTGTGCGCTGCATACCAAAGCTAAATAATGAAGCTAATTTTGTTTTCATTACTGTCACCCTCCTTATTAATCATTGGTAATGGCATTTTAACTAAATATTTGTGTTGATATTGTCTATTAAAGCATAATATATTTCATATTTTCATATTTGATTTATTTATTTGCTCAATTCAGTGTATGGTTTCAACACCATAATACACAACAAAAAATATTTTCTCATAATGCTGAGACACTGTTCATGAGCAAACAAGAGCAGGAAGAAGAAAACTTATAATACCTGCCCTTTTCCTACTATATATATAATATATGAGGTTCTTCATTAAATAGGTGCCATACATTTTGTCACAGTCTACTTACACAAGCAGGATGCTCGATACATTCTCAGGAGAAATAAACTCCCAAAACACAAGAATAAATATATATTAATAAGGCGCAGGTTCTGTCGGTTATTTTTATATGTTTGTTGAATAAAAGTAATCTAAAATCTCAAGTTAATATCGGCAAGAGCCAATACTGGAAGAGGCCAGAGCACTGAATGATAACAAGAGACCCCCTCTGAGCATTATGGGTGTTAGGTTCGATGCCCCCCCTGCACAGACCAGGTTCTGCAGTGCAACACTATAAACCCACAGGCCAACTGAAACAGCATATATACAAAAGTCCAGAGCCGGACAGAAGCTTCCAGATTTACAGTAATTCAAAAACTCACAGATGCCAGTGTCTTGAGATGAACCTCCAGAGGGAAATATGCAGTCCATGTTAAACAGCAGTTGACTTTTTTTCCGAGGTAATATTGCAAAGTTTTATTTTTTCCAAATCAAACTGAATTTGTCGTCCTGGAGAGGATAGATGAAGCTACTGGCTGTCATTATGTAAAACATTTGATCCAAATGCTGATTTTTCCACACCTTTGGCCCCCTTCAGAATTTCTTTCAGTGTTAGTAAATCCGCATGATTTGGAATGCATTTGTCTCGTGGTACACAGTGTGTCTGATATTATATTTACTGTACAGCCCCTGTACCAGTAGAAATTGTCCTTAACATTAAAATGACTATTCCTCCATCTCTATGGTAATAGAGGGGTCTCGGTCCTCAGCTGAAATAAAGGAAAGAACAAAAAAATATATTTTAGCATGTATTACTGTGAATAAAATGGGTTCAGATTATGCAGTAGTTTACAATATGATGCATGTGACCACCAGGTGGTAGCAGAATATAAAGGTTTGAATCTAAACACAGGCCATGCAGGTGGAAAGATTACTGAATATGTAAACATCATTTCAAAAGCAAATGGCACTGTTTGATACACATTTGACTTTTTTCTTTTTTCTCTTTTGCAATCACATCTATAGGTCATTAGAAAATGTACTTCTGGACTTCCTGTTGTTGGTGCTGGAAGGTTTCAAAAATATATATAAATATAATAATAATGCTCTTAAAATGAATCCAGATTAACTGCTTTAGTGGAAAAACGTTTCATGGAAAAAATTATTTGGAATTGGAGACTTAAAAGATTTAAATGACAATCTAGTGATCTCTTTTAATTCCAATGTTGTACATTTGAATTTCTCAACATAAGAGAAACAGTCAAATAAATCTAAGCCATGTTTGAGAGAAAGTAAAAAGAAATCAACATTTTCCTCTTAATTCTAAACCTTCCAAACAAGTATAAAAGGTATAAAATAATTTCCGTGGTGAAAATTGTCTTTTTAAACTTTCTAAGGAGGGTTTGGAAAGCAAGGAGAACTAGAGCTACATGTGTGTGTGCAGGTAGTGCTTCAATATTACAGTAGAGTAGTTGTGCTGCTTCGACTGCATTCATTATAACAGGACCCAGTCAGATTTACTCTTGAGCAAATTGTTTGATCTGATACTTTGCTGAATATTCTTTATCTATTTGCATGAAATTAGTCAAGTGGTAGATGTAAAATAATATCAAATCACTCTGAATTCTTTGGAAATGTTAAATTCAGCTCTGTATAATTCAGAAGCCTACACAAGCTTTAATTTAAAAAAAAGGTCAGAGTGAGCTCTGTCTGTTCAAATTCCATTTTTTAACTTGCACCAATCACCGCCTGGCACTGCAGTTCATCAAGAGTCCAAAATCAATGCCAAAGCTACTGTTGTTGAAAACTAAAAACAGCACATTTCCTGAGACACTCTCCGAGGACTTTCCACTACTACTAACAAACCTGTTTATCTAGTAGCACTGTGCTGGTTGGCATCACAAATAATATGAGATTTCAACTTCATTCAAAAATATATATTTACACTCAGGAAAGTTTTGAATAAAAATTGTACATATTCTTGTAATGACATAGAACATGTGAAAGAATAAATATGACAGAGTAAAAAGTGACTAACCCAGACTTCCTTCCTCGGAGCCGTCATCAGACTCCTCCCACATGTCCTCATTGGCTAGCAAGGGGTTCTGGGAATCAGAACTCCGATTCTTCAAGGGGAAGTAGTGGCCATTTCCTTGGCTGACATGCAAAAAAAAGGATAGAAGCACGTTGAGGAACCACAAACATAAGCTCAACTCTTATCCAATCACTGATTTTATGTTTGGTTTATGTGTTGATTATAGCCCCACAATAGCTTTTTACTGACCACATTTGCATTCACACAATGAAATGCATAAAACATAGTGTTCACTTTCAAAGATTATCCTGATAAAAACACAAACATTGTATCTTTGATAATCAAAACTCAAAAATAATGTTGGCTTCTCTATAGGGGAACAAAAGTGATGACAACTTCCAGGTATGTGTAAATAATAACGTCATCCCTGCAGCATTTATTGTGAAACTCTTCTTTTCTAGAGCCTGGTCAACAGCTGCATATTAAATACAACAAGAGCACCATCACTGAATAATGAGAAAGTCGTCTAATAATGCATCACATCTTATTCACCTTGTGAAGACAGGGATGAACCACAGTCTCCGATCCTCTCCAAATACTTGCTGCAGGTTTCTGCGTAAGCCGACATTAAAACCATTTTTGTCTGGTCCACAGACAAAAACTGGAGCTGAGAAGGCCTCTATAAAAATAAATATCAACTGGGTCAGAATAAGTCCTCGTGCTTCAATCCTCCACATTCACTTTTACCCACTGACGGGTTTTCCAAATATGTAAATCCTCACCTAAAGTGGACCGGTTCTTGGCCACCAACCAGCAGTGGTAGCCAAAGAGGAACATGAGACTGACGAAGAACATGAGTGCCACAAACATGAGGAAGAGGACATGGAACTTTGCAGGACCATTTGGCAAGTCCCCCTGGGAGAGAGAAACAGGAGAAGAAGAAACTTGAGTCAAATGGTGTTTTTTTTTTCTTTTAAAGGTCACAACAAAGACTTTAGTTCTCTGTTGTTGCAGAACTGAAATAGTGATGACAAGGTGCAACTCAAATGTGTCCTATAATCCATTTTCACATACAGAGCAAAGGAAAACATTGAGATTAACATCACTCACCCCCCAGAATTTGAGGAAATACTGAAAGACTGTTGCTGCAATAAACACACAGTACAGCATGGAGTAGGAGAGGAAAAGCAGGAAGAACTTGTAGTTGGAAAAGCCCACACAGTTGTTCACCCTGAAGAAAAAAAAAAAACTTGTGTCAGAGCAAAACTAATGAATTAATGATGAATTAAATTACTCAGTAGAGGGAAATGTGTGCTACTGTTCGTCACTCCTCACCAAGGACAGTGATGGTCCATCTTCAAGACACATCTTTAAAAGAAAAACATACTTTTAAAAAAATAAAATAATCCACATTTCATTTTAAACAGCTCTGCAGTTATTTTGAATCATTACTTTTCTTCACACCATATAGACACAATGTGCATTCTGATATCCCTTTTGGTTAAGCTCTGCTCTGACTGATTACGAGGGTAACATTTCTAAGAGATAATGTGCCAACAAAGCAACGTCCTCTAATTATCACAGTAGTCCCTGGCCAACAAATATCTCCTTGCCCGACACAATCTCATTGGATGAATGGATTGAGGAGGAAAGAGTGACTTACGTTTCACAAACTGAGCAGTGGTGACAGCGGTCAGGCTTCAGTACCTGGCAGCGGTCGCAGAACCTGATAGCTAAAGACAAGAGAATGGCCAGCTGAATGGGCGACATTTGAGCTGAGCTTCCCCCCTTCGTTCTCTTCCTGCAGCCTAGAACTTAGTCTCAGCAATCAGCACTAATGAAAAAGACGCATTGGCTGATTGCACTGGATGGGGATGCTCGGGGAACACACACAGAGCTAATTGCCCGAGCACAACACACAGATTACGTGCAAGATGACAGACTGCAGCTAATGCATGTACCTGCCTGGTAACCCCCCCCCCCCACCTCTGGTTTTCACATAGTTTGTACAAGAGCAGACTCTGCTCTAATTTTTCCAAGCAGTGGAAACATCAATTTTACCTCCAGACTGAGTTCGTGTAAAGATGGGTAGTTTCTTTGCGATCTCAACCAGGATCTGTTTCTGAGCATCTGGCCTCTCTTCCATCTCGTACCTTTGCTTGTCCGAGTATGACATCTGGAACTGTAGTGACAAGGTAGATCATGTTGAGACTTAAAGCAGTAAAAGAAACAGGTAACAGATAACATTGTCATCTTTGTGAATTTCGGATACCTTTTTGCATGATGTTGCAGGGGGGGTGAATATGGACTTCCAGTATGTCCAGGAGAACATCACAAAGCACACATGAAACACCAGCAGATAGGCCACTGCAACAACAAATCAACAATCTCTATAATTGATAAATCCAAATAAAAACATGATGTTTTGTGAGCAGCGCACACTGACTGTAGCAGAAACATAAGAGGGTAGCTCACCTTTTTCTAATGTATTGGTGAGTGTGACTGTGGAGGTAAAAAACAACAACATTATGGTTAAAAAAAAAAGCAAGCGGAGAGCAGCAACAGTGTAATGAAGTGTTTGGTTGTTCAGAAGAGTCAACATTTGGAGGCTAACTCGACTAGCCAGACTGACAGGTTGCTGCTAAGCTGGACATGACAGTCGTTTCATGAATACAGAGTTTACATTGCTCCTTCCAAGTGGCAGCGCTAAATAAAATAGAAATGTCACTCTTTGTAAGCGAAACCTTATGTCGACAGAGTAAAAGCACACACCCTGAACTACATCCGCATATTTCGCTAGCTCCGTCGGTCTGTAAGGATATTTCTGTAAACACTGCTGTGCGGCAATCTGCGAAGTCTGCAGGGTCAAAAATCACAACAAACCAAGACACTTCCTCGTACTTACAAACACATAGTTCAAATACGTAGGCGTAGTATGACCATAACACCACCGAGGTTATTATAAGCACAGGTATCCACGAGAAAACCCTTTGACAGCATCTCAAACCTCTGGAGAGAGCCATATTCCATCTAACCTCTGTCCTTATCTGTGCTCGACTATCATTCCTGGGATTTATGCATCAGTGAAATCGGCGAGCGATTCACCGTCCTCCAGGAGCAAGACCAGTGTGGTAAATCAGCCAAAATGTAATGTAAGTGGGGTTTTTTTGTTTGGTTTTTTTCAATGTTGTGATTGTCGAACAACCTTTAAAAAAAACGTTTTGTATATTTATTACTAAGCATTAAAAAGATTGATTTCTGGGGGGAAATAACTTCAGCTGCACCATAAAAAAGACAAGTAATGCGTCTTCCAATATCCTAAAAATGCCATACCAAGACAAACAAGGAATTATAATAAACTGCATAAAATAACCCCATTAAATAAAACGTGAATCACAGGTGGCAGTCCATTTTATCACATTGGCCTAAAGAATAGACACTGTACCTATAATTCAAAGTCAATAACTAAATTTAAAGTTTTCCATAAAATTCCATTAATCAGTTTTCTGGAGGTACGTAGCTCTTATTTGGCAAACTCTTAACTTGAATCTATTATAATCTGCATATGAGAGCTCTTTGGGGTTCAGAGTCTTTCCCTGGAATATCTTGTCATGTGTCCAGCAGGAACGAGGGATTTTGTGTATGGACAACACACTCTACTACCAGCGCTTCATTCTCCCAAAGACAGCCTTCTCACATGAGACCTTTATTGTCCAGCCAATACAAGCACAACCAAAATCTCTGAACTTTTTTTTCTACTGCTTGACATTTTATTAAAGGTCTCATGTGGCCCTATTGCGTGAGCAAATGTAAAGTATTATAGATAGTTGGCAGAGAGGGAGACCTGACAGGTAAGGACAGGGGGGAAGAAAAGATTTGGAGAATGACATGCAAAGATGTTCCTATAAGACCTAGAGCAGGGATTGTTTTAATTTTAACAATGCTTTTTCAATTCTGCTCTTGTTTACCACTTTTGTGTTTTTATTTATAGGTTACACAACCAGCTGTAAAAATATCTGCAGGCCAAACACACACACACACACACACACACACACACACACACACACACACAGAAACAAACACATACACACAAATTCAGCCAAACAAGAGACCTCCAAAGAGCAAAATTTGATCTGAATGTTTTGGCGAAAAAGCCGTGAGTACTTCTGCAGTTAATTTACTTAACTTCCTAAATTAAATTGCTCAGTAAATGACATCACCCTGGGTTGTCTTTTATTTAAACCAAATGTGATAATGCTGCTGTTAGGTACTTTCATCTCTACCTTCCCTAATTGACATGCCTAACCAGCTCAACATTTAGAGTTGACTGGATTAAATTAACCTTTAATGATACTTTAGGGGAACTTTGTGTTTGCAGCACAAACACATGGTTACAAAATACATCAGAGAAACCTGCAATTAAAGAATTTAAAGAGATAAAATGGCAACCAAAGCACACACGTAATAACAAACGCATGTGAGAACTGTGAATATTAAACAAAGGGTTGTTAAGTTCAAATAGGACGAAATGTGGACATTTTTACATTGTAGAGTTACAGGAGATCATATATTTCTGTACTAATAGTATCAGTTGCAGTTAGGCATGTGTTTGGTTCAGCTCCCTCTGCATTTAGAACATGACACTCTTTGTTCAGGAAATTCTTGAAGTTGTGACTGATGTATTCAACATATCAAGATATGACATGCACACTGTAGGTTCTTCGATGTGTTGGCTTGTCACAGAGGAGGTTAAAAAGAATTGTGTGTTACTGTCTTTAAGGTGTCATCTTCAGTTCTAATAACTATTGAGAGCTTATTCAATGATGGCAGAGCTACTTCAAATTAAAGTTGTTGTTTGTTGAAGACAGAAAAACATGGTTTTCTGTCTACAAAGCAGTCCAACAGTAAGCAGGTGTAAATCAAACTCCAAAACCAGAAAAGGGACATAAAAAATAGGCCTGGAACGCTCGAATGCATGGTATGTGGTTCATGGACAAACTGGAATAAGGAAAGATGAGGACAAAAACAGAATAAAGGTGAGGCTAATCAAGTACTGTACAGGTAAGAACATCATCACACATGCAGGAAAACACACAATAGAAAGTCAAAGTTCAGATATGAAAGGGGACAATTACTGACAAAGAAACAATGAATACATGAAAAACAGGGGCAAGAAAATAGATGAAGCTTCTGCCTCTCCTAAACAAAACAAAAAAGCTTATCATTATCTAGTATGACTGATCACATGTAGCCTTATGCCACATTGAAAAGCTAGTGGTGAAAGAAGAAGAATGGTCTGCAGTTTTCTTCTGCTCGGAACATTTGGTGCAAACATTGTTGGCACAGTTGCTCTGCAGGTAATTAACTAAAGCTCCTTGAGGCTTATACTTGTAGCTGTAGATGCATTTTCTTGCACTGGACTGAAGTATTTGTCAGGATCCTGTAATCTCCAGTATGGGCAATTGGAAAACTGCTAGAGCTGGCAAGACTGCTGTGGAAAAAGAGAAACTGCAGCCACCGAGAACTCACAACTCCTCCACACTTCCTTTAAAGACACGGATGATGATAAAATGTGGTTTTTTTAATAGTAAAATGCAATATTTTCAATTTCCATCCACTTTTGCTTTTACACTTTGAAATACTCTCTGCCCCTTTGGCCACTAACTGCATATGAGGTCCACTTTTCAGGAACATGTTCAAAACTTGGAGTAAAAACCCATCAATGCAATTTGCAACGGTCACCCATAGGAGGCACTGTGAGACTGCTCTCAAATAAAATTAAAAAAAACTCCAGCCTTGAAGCAGACATCCACACATCCTTTACTATTGAACCAACATGGTTGTAAATGAATATTAACTCATTGGCAGTGTTCATCACACTGGGTACGATTTGAAATCGGTGCGATAAGAGAGTGAGGCTTTTTTTTAAGATCAAGGTTTCAATCCAACAGGCAATTAGACTTGTTAAACAGATTTGTTTTGTTTTCATTGCTCATAGTTAACTTTTTAATACAACAAAGGAGGACAAGTTGAAACAGATCCTATTCTGTAAATACCAACAAAGCTGATGTCACATTCAGAACTTGAGTATCATCTCTAATATAAATGTCTCCTCCTTCCCTTCAGAGAGATGAAGATACTTTCTTTCACTTCTTTTGTTCTAAAGATTTACGACATGCCGTCATCCTCTTATGGGTTGTCCAGCACAATGCGTAACAACAGCGTAATTAAGTCTCCCCTTTACCGAATGCTGTGAAACTTTTCATCTTGGGACCCCAGAGTAACCGGAACGTTTAACCGTTGACTCAGCCCAGCAGAACTGTTGATCACAGGCTTCGTGTGTTTCCAAGCACCTGCTTTCCTCCCCCTTTTTTACGTAATGCCATCGCTGCAGTGTCTTCTGGGATATGGGTGTGAGGTGTGCTGCACCCAATGCTGAACTCCTCTCCTCCATCATATATGTTCTTTCCCCTCTTTTCCTCTAGGCCCTGCTCCTTTCCTGGACATCTTCTCCCACTTCAACACATCATCTCTCGCTGCTTCTCCATCCAATTTCTTTCCCCCCGCTTCCTTCTCTTCCTCACCTCTCTCTCTTTAGGCAACAGTGTTGGCAGCCGGGCGATGACAGCTCCTCTCTCATTCAACCACTCACTGGAGGCAGGGAGCGGCCGTTCATCCATCAGCACGGCAGCAAACCCCTCCACACTACAAAGCCATTGTGACTAGCAAAATAGTAACAGCCTTTTAATCAAAACATTTACCCGTGTGTGTAAAAGTAAAACACAAGCAGCTCATATCAGCAGGTTGAGGCAGACTCCTGGATGTGTCTATTTATGTGTGTGTGTGTGTGTGTGTGTGTGTGTGTGTGTGTGTGTGTGTGTGTGTGTGTGTGTGTGAGAGAGAGAGTGAGTGAGTGAAGTAAAGGTGCATTCCATGCCCACCATGGTGGTAGGCGTCTACATAAACAGACAGTAGGAGCTGGAGGAGAGCCCTTTTGGGGAGAAGTCATGCGTGGCAACAGAAAAGTGCAAAAGGGCCCCGGGTAACAATGCACCACCATGCAGGCGTATAAACGCACAATGGTCTAGTTTGCTCTCAAGCTGCTGCTGTTATGCCTGGAAGATGAAGTGGCACTTAGAGCGTGCATTTCATTTGACCCCTGAGACTGTCTTGTCATGTAGTTGTGCTCTGCAGTCAAGGCTGGTTCAGGGAATGCTGATGATGCTAAGCACTTGGGAGGGTGAATCATTTTGGATGTGTGTGTGTGTGTGTGTGTGTGTGTGTGTGTGTGTGTGTGTTTCTGTGAAGCAGCAATGCTTGTGTGGAATGGGGAATGGAGGTGTTCCAGGAGGGTATGTTTTTGCAACACTGCAAGATGATGCTGTATTGACTTTGATTTCCATTTCATTCCCTGCATGCTTCAGTGTCTGGACGGGGAATTCATCGTGTGTGCATCTGTTTGAAGTCAATATGGAGCACATATTGGAAAGTCTGCATTCATCTTAACATAGGCTATTGTCATTGGTTTGTGTCCAGGTGATCAAAGAGGGCCTGTTCCTGAGCTGTGGCCACATTTACACAAAAGGTATGTGTGAAGAAATCAGACATGAGCACAGGAGTAATTAGAGAGAGAGACAGACCAGTGGGAGAAAACACAGCTATGACTTCACAGAACATGGTCCCACACGTCAGTTACAATTAGCTTTATACAACACAGAAAAAGACTTAATGGATTCTACTATTAGCCTATTAACGCTGCTGCAGAACAGTTTTTATGTATTATGCATGTATGAATAAGTCATATTGGAATCTGGGAGAATAATACATGCGTTTCCCACTATTTTTTTTTTACGTCATAGAGACAAATGTTCGGACTCTGAGGACAGACTCAGAGCCTCAACGTCTGGTTCTCACCCCAGTGATGGACATGGTAGACTACAGCGGTCTGGAAAGCTGTTAACTAAGCGTGACATCAGCAAACGGCACTCAGCGGAGCAGGAGAAGCCCTTAAACGCAGCTATAGTTCTGCCTGCCCTCTGCTCATAT